AGGCTCTCAGCCCCTCCACCCCCACCGCCCCCACACACAGTCCTTTCACTCAGCCCATCCCGCCCACACACCACTCAACCCATCCCGCCCACACACCACTCAACCCATCCCGCCCACACACCACTCACGTTCACTCTCACACTCAAGTCCTCGCACTCTTAACACCCTTCCACCTATGCCCTCCTACCCACACACTCCGCCCACACACACACACACACACACACACACACACACACACACACACACACACACACACACACACACACACACACACACCTGCCCACACACTCCCATACACCACGCCCACACACTCCCACACCCCACATCCCGCCCCACACTCACGCCCACACCTCCCGCCCACACACTCCCGCCCACACACTCCCGCCCCACTCGTCATCCTTCTCGCTCAAGTCCTTAATTATCACCACACCTCCTACGCCCTCCCACAAAAAGAGAATAAACTGCTCCTCTACACGTCGCCTGTACTGTAGTGTTGGTGGAGGTGTTGGTGATGGTCGGTGGTGTTGTTGGTGGTGGTGTTGATGGTGACGATTAGTGGCTAGTGTTGGTGACGATCGGTGGTGGTGTTGGTTACGATTATTGGTGGTGTTGGTGACGATCGGTGGTGGTGTTGGTGACGATTATTGGTGGTGTTGGTGACGATTAGTGGCTAGTGTTGGTGACGATCGGTGGTGGTGGTGTTTGTGACGATTAGTGGTTCGTGTTGGTGTCGGTCGTTGGTGATATTGGTGATAGTCGATACCTCACCTGCACTGATGGTAAGGTCAGTGTAAATGGGGACACATACTGCTGGGTGACACTGTAAATGGGGACACATACTGCTCAGGACACTGTAAATGGGGACACATACTGCTGGGTGACACTATAAATGGGGACACATACTGCTGGGTGACACTATAAATGGGGACACATACTGCTCAGGACACTATAAATGGGGACACATACTGCTGGGTGACACTGTAAATGGGGACACATACTGCTCAGGACACTGTAAATGGGGACACATACTGCTGGGTGACACTATAAATGGGGACACATACTGCTGGGTGACACTATAAATGGGGACACATACTGCTCAGGACACTATAAATGGGGACACATACTGCTGGGTGACACTATAAATGGGGACACATACTGCTCAGGACACTGTAAATACCCACTGCCTCCTCATTTTTTTTAATCAGTTATAATACACCAATTTTAATCCGTCGGGAGAATAATGAGGTATTGTGATAATAATAAAAATAAGTATTACAGTTTTAAAAGTCACTTGAGCATAATAGATTTGTTTGTATAATACTCCCAACTACTGAAGACGTCCAAGGTTGTATTTAGAATTTTCTTCTAAACCGTAACGAGGGAATGTAATGTTTCTAAAAAGGTTCTTGGGATGTGTTTAAATGTGTGTGTGTGTGTGGGTTTTTTTTATATGTAATGTTCGCGGGGGGTAATTGTTCCAGTGCAGGTAATGCTCGGGGTTATTTGGAATGTTTATATCAGCTCTTACTACTTTCTAACTTTCTTTCTTTCTTTCTTTCTTTCTTTCTTTCTTTCTTTCTTTCTTTCTTTCTTTCTTTCTTTCTTTCTTTCTTTCTTTCTTTCTTTGTTTCTTTCTTTGTTTCTTTCTTTGTTTCTTTCTTTCAAGACACGAGACCAAAAAAAAAAAAAAAATCTAAAATTACAATAATTTTCTAATTTCTGTTTTCTTTTCAAGGGGGAACTCAACTAAATCACCACAAGTATATAACTAGAATATCAAGGCATATTCTGTCGTGTGGGAGGCTGGTGATGATGCTTCTACCCCAGATGATCCCTAGATAACTCCAGATAACCTCCAGATTACCCCCAGATGACCTCAAGATGACCTTTCCTCAACACACCTGTACCTCCTCATCATATAATTGTAAGTTTTAAAATTTCGAGCTTCATCTCTAAAATATAATTCGTTTTGCTCCAGGTGTTATGTCTCTATATTTTCTATCTTACTTTACGTAGTTATTTTAGTGATTCATTTAACATTTTTCCCCATGTAATATAATTTTTTTTCTTATTCTATGACATTATTCTTGTGACATTTTCCTCTACCATAAATTTTTCCTCTTTCCATAAAATTTCCTTCCATGACATTTTCCTCATGACATTTACCCCATAATTCAGGCTATGATTTTCTGTCTTCCTGCGTTATCAGGAAGTGAGATACCCAAATATGTCCAGATAACAAGTTGTTTCTCAGGATATCTCTCATATCTGGTAGTAAAGAGATCCTGTATATCTCACTACTAGAGGGAGGTGAGAGAGATAGTATATATTGTGGATGAGAGACACAGTGCTTTATAATTGGAGGTGAGAGAGATGATATAATATTATAGTTTGAGAGTGAGAGACACTATATATATATATTATAGTTTAATGTGAGAGATTCAGTGTTGTTTTACCTGGAGATGAGAGGAGCCATATTTAAGTAACCTGGTAAAAGACGAGAGGTCCTCATCAACCTATACCTGGACTCTGGCTCACACCGCTCTCTAAACCCCCAGTATATGGACGAGTTTAAGTAAGGTTATACAGGTGAGTGCCGCTAGAGTCACGGGAGTGTATGTAGTGAACACAAATTACAATGGGTTAGCTTTAGAGTGAAGAGAACACCTGTGTGTGTTAATTTCTGTGGTATAATTCTTCGTGTGTATGATTGGTACTGTGTATGATCTTATGAGTAAAATGTCTTACCATGTCAACTCCGTATGAAATGTGTCTTTTATTATACATCCTTCAGTGTATGATGCCTGGTGTATACGACTCTTTCTGTGTATGAGCGCTGCAGAGGGAGAGGTTGACCTTTCCTGGTTTGACCTTTAACCTATGTGAGGTGGACACGCCCACGTCGTCTCACTATTTCACCAGCAGTGTTAAATCTCAGCCTAATGCTTGGAGAGTGAGTTATTGATGCTGCACCTGAGCCTGTGTTTCACACCAGGTGACCAGGAACACACCAGGTGACCAGGTGCACACCAGGTGACCAGGAACACACCAGATGACCAAGAACACACCAGGTGACCAGGTGCACACCAGGTGACCAGGAACACACCGGGTGACCACGAACACAGCAGGTGACCAGGAACACAGCAGGTGACCAGGAACACACCAGGTGACCAGGAACACACCAGGTAACCAGGAACACACCGGGTGACCACGAACACACCAGGTGACCACGAACACACCAGATGACCAGAACACAGCAGGTGACCAGGAACACACCAGATGACCAAGAACACACCAGGTGACCAGGAACACACCAGGTGACCAGGAACACACCAGGTGACCAGGAACACACCAGGTGACCAGGAACACACCAGGTGACCAGGAACACACCAGGTGACCAGGAACACACCAGGTGACCACGAACAGCAAAAAATCACCTCGGAAACCTATAGTTGGAGAGTACACTAATTAGCATTGGAAAAAAATATAATCACCCTCATCCAGGCGTAGTTACGAACCACTAATTACCCCGCAATTTAACTGTCGCAACTGTCGAATTTCAAGAATATTTTATGAAGAACATTCTGATAAGCCTTTTGAGGAATATTTCTTGAAAATTTTAATTTTAATTAATTTTTCAAAAAAACATACCGGATATTATTTATTATTAGGATAGGTTAAGTAATATTTCTGGAATCGACAGGAAAATCTACATTAAAAATCATATTTATATTCATTTTTGGACACGATACTTCAAACCGAAAAGACCTAACGTAACCTAATAAAAATAATATCCTGTATCTTTTCCCAAAATCATATCTCCCCAAAAAAACAATTACACCCCCGTATGTTTCTGGAAGCTGTAGGAAATTCAACATTCAAAAAACAATTTTTTTTCCCGACCCGTTACTTGAAATTTAAAAGACCCAAATGGTGTAAAACTGGTGTAGAGTTGTGGAGTAGTTACCGCCATCTCTCTTACTGCGAACCGAAGAGAGAATATTTTCTTAACTAAGCAAATAATGATCTTTTACTGCAAAATAATCAATGTGTTGCTTTGAGAAATTATTCCTAGGTAACTAAAGATGGATGTCAATAACCTACTGACTATATATAAATTATTTTTATTGGATAATCTGGTGTTATCGCACACTATTATGTAAGGGACAATGGGATTAATGTTTGCTATTCCCCAGCCGCTTGATGTCGCCACCATCCTTGGTCCAACACATTCAGTTATTTTCAAACGTTAAAATATTCCTCTATATTACAAACAACACTCTAAATATAATCCAAATACAATCTAAATTAAAAAAAAATCTTTCAAAAGCACAAAGGTCATCAAAGAAAATAGACATTGGCCACACAAACTAAACTATTTTCCCGTAATAAAAATTCAGAAAAAAACCCTAATACTAACATACTAAAAGACGATAAATAAAAATACTAAAAAAAAAATAGCCTTGAAAAAAATCTCTGGGGGTACGTTAAGTCACATAGGACCATAATTATATCCCATAAGCGGAATAGATATTATTAGTGAGATCAGTAAAGGCAGATATTGAAGCTGACTTAACATATCCAAGTGTTAATGGGTGGTAGAGCAAGGATTAGGATTGGATATACTAGGATGGTATTTAGGGGGGTGGTGGGGGGGGTCAGCGTGTATTAATAGTTAAATAGTAAATATGTAACGCCTAGCTCTGAATAAGTAAAATACAGTGAAAACTCTATTTAACAATCTGTATGTCGAAGAAAATCCGTTATATCGAGGGTCTGTTAGATATTTAAAACTCCATTTAACAAAGTATATAGAGATAAAAATCCGTTATATTAAGTTATCCATTATATGTGAACCCCTTATATAACGGATAATATGGAGACGAGTCCGCTATATAGAGGTTTTACTGTCGATGGTTATTATTATTATCATCACTGAGGCACAGGTGCGGGGGAGATTAAAAGGTTTAATTAATTGCCCAGGTAATATAAACACACTATTGGTTTTTTAATCAGTTTATTTATTTATTTAGATATTTTGTTGACATTGATTATGACATTTATGAAACACATATACCAATTCAGAAGAGAAAAGGATTATGAATATATTATGCAGGTAGATATAAGATCATTGTAATCTAGTAGACTAAATAACTCAATATATTCTGAAGACTTACAGCATACTTAATGAGGTAATAAACTTAATACTTTTAAAACAAGAATAATTCCAATATTTTTTTTTAATATAATTGCATCGCTGAATATAATATAAAGTTGATTAATTGTGTGTATGTTTGTATGTAATGATTGAAAGCATAATTGTCGTGACACTATGTATAAAAATAGTCATTGATAATTTAGAATTACTGATAAACTCATAAAAAATAAATGTTTTAAATAAGACTAGATTGACTTAGCTAACACACCATAAATTTATCTCTGTCTTAAGGAATATAAAATACAAATCAACTAAAAACCAAAAACAATCAAAACTACAAAATGTTAAAATCTCTTTAAAAAAAAATAAATAAAAGAAAATATCAAGGAACGAAATGTGTATAATTATCATCCAGTAGTAGGTAGACACAGTACAGGCGTATGTTTCTACCTCACTCACATTTCATACAGTTTTTCAAGCATTCCATTCATCATCACTGACTGGTAGTAAGAAGAAGAAGAAGAATGACAAATAATACATTGAAAAGCCACAGGCAAAAAAAAAAAAATCTAAGAGCCATAATGTATCCAAGATGTCGACGGCCAGAAAACCAAATCAACCAAGTTCAAAAGTTCAATACATAAAGTTCATAGGTGAAAGTTCTTATTGTTCTTTATTGGTGTTTTTGTCGTCTGTTGATGTTACTGTACTTGCTGGACCATGTAATTAGTGATGTTGTTGATATGAGTGGTAGTGAAGATCGTTGAGTCAATCGGTGTCTGACTCTCTCTCTCCCTCTCTGACATGTTGTCCAATTTTTTTTTTTTTAATCTTGACAAGTTATCTGACAAAATGGTAATGGAAATTTATGGTATCTTTCATTTAATTTAATAATGGGGGCATGAACAAACCAAGACTTTAAATGGGCGAAGCAAAAAAAAAGTCATCCATTGATTTAGTTCCTCAATGAATAACTTTTCCTGCCCAAACTTTAGTCATTATCCGGATAGCCTTTGTAAGTGTGTGTGTGTGTGGGTGTGTGTGTGTGGGTGTGTGGGTGTGTTTGTGTGGGTGCGTGTGTATGTATGTAGATCAGTATTAAATTCCCACACAGTTCAGGCTCACAAAGGAATTATGTCCCGGTCTAATTCTCTTATGGAGCTATTCACAGCTCCGGCCTATAGAGTAGAATATAAACCTCCTGAAGCTGCATCACACCGAGGAGAGGCCTTACAACCTTTTGGGAGGGGGGGGGGAGGGAGGGGAGCTGCTAACGACATGCAACTAACTTCTGATTTTTATATTTTATTAAATCATACTCAAGGTTGATTAATTAATTAACAAGGTTTCCTTCATTCTTCTCAAAAGTCACCTGCTTAACCTTACCTGGATTATGGTATCAATCACAGGTAGATGTTATTATCAGGACACCTCAGTAATATATGACACAGCCAGATCTTAACCCCCCCCCTTCAAAAAAATTATTTCCACATAAACAGATATTTCAATTCTACATACTCCCTACTAGTTCATCTGACTTGTCCTGTTCGTGTGTTTTATTGTGATTTCTCTCTCTCTCTCTCTTTCCCTCCCTCTCTCTCTCTGTTTTTATACCTACAGGAAGACTAAGAAATAACTAACAGGTAGAAAGCACATGAATCTATGACACCTGGGTGATAATATTCTCAATGCTACAATCCTTTTAGCAGATGAATACCAACCCAAAGTAAAGTATAACATAAAACTCTATTAATACATAAGAAAATAGTTAATATGGTATAATGCATTGATGGGGGATGGCGAGGAGAGCTATTTTTTTTTTTTTTACAGCAACCCAGAGATACAGTTTGTGGGGTTTGTTTTGGTACTGTTATTATGATAGGTGAGGTGCCACGAATAATTTACACTAACCTGGATGATTGCCTTTTTTCCAGTTATTATTATGTGTATATTAAAACACTCCCTAGTGAATATTATACATATCTATCCCCCCTCTTCCCACGCAGTCTATATTATACGCTTAATATGTACTCTTTATAGACACATCTATTGGTATACAAGTCATGACGAGTGTGACTTTGATCTTGTACGAAACATGTTGTATTATTTTCGGTCAACTTTAGGTGTGTATATAATTTAAATGTATAATTGATGACTGGGGTGGGGAGGGGGGTGGAATAATTCAAAGGGAGTGTGTATGATAAAGGATGATTATAACTGGGGGAATTATACAGATTATATGTACAAGTTAATGTTACACCGTGGCTGATAATGTTAAATGTTATAATGTTTTATAATGAAAAAAAAACAGAAAAAAACAATGAACTTCATAGCAATTTTAAGATTTTTGTTTCAAGCTAAATAAACCAGTAATTAATATTTCGTCTATATATATATATATATATATATATATATATATATATATATATATATATATATATATATATATATATATATATATATATATATATATATATATATATATATATATATATATATATATATAATTATTATTTTTTTGGTTACATAAATATATCACATTAAATACTGAACATTTTCCTTTATAAATATCTATTATGTGTATCTATAATTTCATGTTAATAATCTTCTAAATCTGAACTACTTTGGGGCTAAGAATTTCTCCATTTGAAAAATAGCTTGTAAGAGTGAGTGTGTGTGTGTGTTACGCTGACATTGATTACACTGATTCACACGACACATCTTAGGGCGCGAAAACATCATCTTAATTCATACTCTACTTCCTTCATTGTCCTTGGGATGAATAAACATTTTTATGTATAATTTATAGCTGTATTATCATCCTAATGTGAATAACAATGTATGAAAAGAAACCCACGTAAATATTTCATCTGCCAATATATATATATATATATATATATATATATATATATATATATATATATATATATATATATATATATATATATATATATATATATATAAAGGTTTCTTGCGTTTAATAATAGCTAAGATGAATAACACTATGCCCGCTTGATATGAGTGGGAGATATTCTTGAAGACATATTTATAATTATGTCTAGGGGGGTATAGAGAACACTTTCCCTTCATGGATAAAATGGAAGATGATATTTTTTTTTTTACCCCAAGGTGATGAAAATGATGACCCCCCTCTGCCACACTGACGAGGGAATAGATGGTACACTGATCTATTACTCTCGCTGCAGACGGTGACGCAGACCTACACTGGTCACCGCACGCGCCCCTACTCAGTCTTATACAGAAATTCTTAATCATAACCCTCAAGGTATTTATCAAATGAAGTCATTATCTGAAGTAAAATTACAATAACTTTTATTTTCATTTATATATACATACACATATATACACAGTACATACTATATATACACTGTATATACCGTAAATGTATGTATATGTATATTTTCTTTGTTATTATTTTTTTTTTGTATTTTCTACGCTGTTATACTGGGAATGCCCTGGCCTTGCGACAGCCTCTTGAGACTGTGTTACTGAAATGATCAGTGAAGTGTGACCTGAACAGAACCTTAGTACAGTATCTGACAATAACACTCATCCTCAGTTACTTATGTTAGGTGATCCACAGAGGCACTGTATCTGACATGCAGTACTGTAAGATGATAAAACAAACAATAAGTCATTTAGAGAATGGGGTTTAGAGTGGAGGTTCAGAGAAAATGGGAAATAAGAGAAATGAGAATAATAAGGAATGGGGAAATAAGAGAATTGGGAAATAAGAGAGAATGGGGTAATAAGAGAAATGCAAAATAAGAGAGAATGGGGAAAAATAAATATTCAACTAGTAATAATGATGCAATTTGAGGCAGACGACAACAACAGAATTTCACACAAAAACAAAAATTATCGTCTGTTTTGGCGGGGCGGGGTAAGAGGAGGAGGAGGAGGAGGAGGAGGAGGAGGAGGAGGAGGAGGGCTAACACTGGATATTTTGGTAGAGAGGAGAAAATAATGCTATAATGAAGGTGAGAATAAGTGTTACTGCAGGAGTACTTGAGGCTCGATGTTCTTACCACTACTGTGACCTGTCCACTGTGACCTGTCCACTGTGACCTGTCCACTGTGACCTGTCCACTGTGACCTGTCCACCGTGACCTGTACACTGTGATCTTTTCACTGTGGCCTGTCCAACGTGTTGACCTGTCTACCGTGGCCTGTCTACAGTGACCTGTCCACTGTGACCTGTCCACTGTGACCTGTCCACTGTGACCTGTTCACCGTGACCTGGCCACCGTGACCTGGCCAGTGTTGAGGTACAGTCTTACAGTCTACCTCCCTTCTTGGCGGCCACTGGCAGCTTCTCCCCCTGGAGGTATGGGTTGTAGCTCTGAAACACACGAGAATGGGACATGTAAGTCAAACACAATACTCGATTAATGAAACAAAATTATATATTACGTATGACAGATAGACGTGAGGGGGTGGGGGGTGTACTGTCAACACACTATAAAACAACCCCCACCCCCACCCTCTCCCCCACCCCCCCCCTCCCCACTCCCCACCCCCATCTCCTCTCCCCACTCCCCACCCCTCCCCTAGCACCGTATACAATAAGCCCCTGTTTTATCTCCATCACTACACGTCCTATCGCTGTTATCGCTGTTATCGTTGTTATCTTTTAATCCAACACAACCTCCACACACACACGAGGCTAAATTAAGCGTCCTCACGTCAGCGATGATTGATAACATAGTTTGATTTGCGCCAGAGTGTTGGGGGATTTCGGGAGGAGGGGGGGAGATGGTTGTTGGTAGTGGTGATTGTAGTGGTGGTAGTGGTAATAGTGGTAGTGGAGATGGTAGTAGTGGTAATATTAGTCGTTAGATATATAGTTTAATATTACCAATACTCTTAATTTTCAATATGACAAATTATATAAAATACAAAAATACCTAAAAATAATATAAGCCGGGATTATATTACATGAAGAGGAAGTAAATATAGGCGGGATATAGTAAGTTTATAAACCAACACTACATATAAGAGTAATGATGAGCTGTGGAAAAATAGAGCATAGAGTCTTGAAATATTTCTTTATAAAGTGTGGGTATTTGGGCCAAAGTCTTGATGTTTAGTGACAGACAGACAGACAGAGACAGAGAGACCGACAGACAGAAAGAGAGAGAGAGAGAGAGAGAGAGAGAGAGAGAGAGAGAGAGAGAGAGACACGCCCAACCGCCCTCAGCATTCCTGACCCTCACACACACACACACAGCGGCGCACAATCCTCTCACACAGGATAAAAGGTCAAAGGTCGACACCTAGCCATTGTTCTCCAGCGCCCAGCCTAACTCTGCCTCCGCGAATAACCAACTCAGATATATATTATGACGTGTGGGTGTCTGGTCATACATACATACATACATACATACATACATACATACATACATACAAAGAAGTTCCCTGATTGGACGACTTACCTTCTTGGCGTGGTATTTCTTGGCTACCAAACGATGGCTTCCGTCACCCTGTAGAGAGAGAGAGAGAGAGAGAGAGAGAGAGAGAGAGAGAGAGAGAGAGTAATTAATATCTCTCATGGACAAAGTTATCACACGTCTTATCATTATTTCTATACACACATTGTTGAAGTATTTTTTCTATGTACACATCTGGTCTAAAACTGTTCTCCCATTCTCTCTTCTTCCTTCTATATTATCCTGTTTCTCTTCTCTTACCTTCTCCTCCTTCTCTCCTACTTTCTCTTTCTCCCCTTTCTTTTTCCCTCTCCTCTTCCTCCTCCCTATCACTCATACGCTTACTCACTCATTCCCCCACTCACTCACTCCTCCACTCGCTCACTCACTCCCCACCCACTCCCTCCTTCCCTCACTCACTCCCTACCTCCCTTACCCACCCACACACTCACTCGCTAACTCCTCCACTCGCTCACTCACTCCACACTCACTCACTCCTCCACTCGCTCACTCACTCCCCACCCACTCCCTCCTTCCCTCACTCACTCCCTACCTCCCTTACCCACCCATACACTCACTCGCTAACTCCTCCACTCCCTCCCTCCCTCACTCCCCCACGCCCACACTCACCAGGCCGCTCATGATCTTGTCGAGGGTAGAGTCTAACACGCCCTCGTTCTGGATGGAGCGGGCCAGGGCTGTGATCTCTGAGTCCCTGGTGGAATCCGCGCACTCGAACATGTGCTCTGTGTCACACATACAGTCTTGTAAAGCCTGGTAGTCTCGCGAGAACCCTGCTGTGTTCTCAAAGTCCTCCAGGCAACCGTCGGCACCTGTCAAGAGTATACATAAGTGTTAAGGAAGGGAATATTTAAGAGTACAAGGATGTTTTAGAGGAGGAGGAGGAGAAGGAGGGAGGGAGTCAGAAAAAAAAAGCAATTAAAACAAATCATTAGTCTACATAAGAATAAAATTAGATTCAATTCACTCAAAAGACTACAGCAAATTGTCTTCACCTCCTTATATACAAGTTATCAAAGAAAACGAATATAAACTTAATCTAAAGAAAACGGGTTAAAAAAATATATGTATATAATGGGTAACATATCTAAATGTCAGTTGGGTTGCTTTAATCTCTTATACGATTTTGATATCATTATTTCTCCGCCTAAGTTACCTGTGTAGCCAAGAGGACAGGGATTGGGTGGGTTGCAGTAAGCAGGTAATACGCCATCACTGCCGCTGTTACTCTTGACGCCGCTAGAGCTGGGTTTTGGTCGTTGTTTCATCTTTCCCTCTGTAACATACCATGGGTTGAGACGGTCACTAGTCATTTACAGTGACACCTCTATTTAACGGATAATATGGATAGGAAATTCCGTTGTATCGAGGGTTCGTTAGATGTGAAACCTTTCATTAACGGACTATATGGAGAGGAAAGTGTGTTAAATCGAAAGGCCGATAAATGTGAAACCCCCACCTTACGCTATTATTATTATTATTATTATTATTATTATTATTATTATTATTATTATTATTATTATTACTATTATTATTATTATTATTATATTCTGCATCATCGTATAAGACACAGTTAAGTATCATGTGGAGGTTCGTGAGACAGTGACCTTTGATACGAAGGTTCATGAGACAGTGACCTTTGATACGAAGGTTCATGAGACAGTGACCTTTGACACACACCTCTCGTGACCTTCCGTACAGATAGTGTATCACAAAGGCAGGAAGGTAGGTTGTGAAGGTGAGGTAGATAGGCGGTCAGGTGAACTATGAGAGCTGTTCCCCTGACACCTTCCTTCCTTCCTCCCTGACACAGACAAGGTGGTTTACATATACACACAGAAAGACATACAGACACACATTCTCTCTCTCTCTCTCTCTCTCTCTCTCTCTCTCTCTCTCTATCTCTCTCTCTGTTTTATCCTAGTGTCTTTTATTAATTCTTGTATTATCATTGTTTATTATATTTTTTTCTCTACTCCTATTCCTCCTGCCTAACCTCCCTTCTCTTCCTCCTCATTTTCCCCCTCACTATCTTCCTGCTGCCTCTTTCTTCCTCTTCCTCCTACTTCCCTCCCATCCATTCTTCATCCTCCTGTCTACCTCCCTTCCTCTCCTCTTCACCCTCCCACCCCCTCCTTCTTCTTCTTCTCCTCCTTCTACCTCTTCCCCTACTCTTCCTCTCCACCATCACCCACCAACACCCACCATCACCCACCAAAACCCACCAACACCCACCACTATTCCTTACCGTAGTTTCCGAGGACTGAACTGAGGAGAGAGGAGTGAGAGAGGTACTCCTGATCCCTGAGTGAGGGACTGAGGGAGATGTCATCGTAATCGAGGGCCATGGGAGGTGCTGGCATCTCCTTCATGGCTCGAGGGGACATTCCTTCAGCCAACTGCGCCTCCAACCTATAGCCAAAGGTAGACATAACAAAGAGGTTGAAACGTGGATCACTGGTCTTCGTAATGTTGAATTTAGGGAGTGTTTGTTATTGTATGTAAATGAGTGTGAATAATCAATGGGATATTACCTGTGGGGATCTTACCTGTGTGGATATTACCTGTGTTAAGCGTATATACAATGAAGTGATGGCAACATTATATTTAATTCTGTATGTTGTCTATAATGATGCTCTGTGTGTCTTGATAAATATGAATACAATGAAACCTTTATTTAACGGATAATATAGAGAGGAAATTCCGTTATACGCGAGGGTCCGTTATATATGAAACCTATACATCACAGATTATAATTGTGATAATACAGTTCATTATATTGAGGTTTATTGTATGTAAAAACCTCCATATAACGGACTATACCCCCTCCGTTAGATTGATGTCCGTTAAATGGAGGTGGTAAAAATATCCATTATATCGAGGTCTATTTCATGTAAAACCTCCATATAACAAACCTAACCTAACCTAAGTGAGAGAGGAGTATTGGTGGAGATTCTTAGGATGTCTTTCTCACCACAACAACAACAAGAAAGGTGTAACAGTAAACAGCCCCATCCCTTCACCCTCCTTCACCCCTCCATCACCCCTCCTTCACGCCCTCTTTCAACCCTTTTTCACCCCTCCATCACCCCTCCATCACCCCTTTCACCCCTCCTTCACCCCTCCTTCACCCCCTCTTTCAACCTCTTCAACCCTCCTCACCCTCCTTCAACCCTCTCTTTTCTTTCACCCCTCTTTTCAACCCCTCTTTTCACCCTCCATCACCCTCCTCACCCTCCATCACCCTCCATCACCCTCCCTCACCCTCTTTCACCCCTCCTTCACCCCCCTCTTTTCAACCTCTTTCAACCCCACCTCACCCTCCTTCAATCCCTCCCTCACCCCCTCCATCACCCCTCCTTCACGCCCTCTTTCAACCCTTTTTCACCCCTCCATCACCCCCTCCATCACCCCCTTTCACCTCCCTCCTTCTTCACCCTCCTTCACCCTTTTCAACCCTCTCTTTCAACCCTCCCTCACCCCTCCTTCACCCCTCATTCAACCCTCTTTCACCCCTCTTTCACCCTCCTTCACCCTCCATCACCCTCCTCACCCCCCTCTTTTCACCCCTCTTTTTCAACCCTCTTTTCAATTCCCTCCATCACCCTCCCTCACCCCTCTTCTTTTTCACCCTCCCCTTCAATCTCTTTCACCCCTCCATCACCCCCTCCATCACTCCCTCCTCACCCCTCCTTCACCTCTTTCAACCCTCTTTTCAACCCTCCTCACCCCTCCTTCACCCTCATTCAACCCTCTTTCACCCCTCTTCACCCCTCCTTCACCCTCCATCACCCCTCCCTCACCCCTCTTTCTGCACCCTCCATCACCCTCCCTCACCTCTCCCTCACCCCTCCTCACCCTCTTTTCACCCTCCTTCAATTCCCTCTTTCACCCCCTCCCTCACTTCCTTCAGCCTTTGAGCAGCACGTTATGTAACTCTCAAAGTCCAGATAACAGTGAAACCCACTCCATATAACGGACTCTCTCTCTCTCTCTCTCTCTCTCTCTCTCCATATACTCCGTTAGATGTGGTAGGTTTCACATGTAACGGATTCCTATCGATATAACGGATTTTCCTCTCCGTATAGTCCGTTAAATAGACGTTTCACTATACGGGCGACTAACAAACACCAAAATATCACTTAAAACACCTAATACAAATACGAGGAATTATCACAAGCATCATTCATCATTTAACCCCGTAGTGAAAGGATTAACTATAAACTATAAACTCCAAAACCTAACAAAATATCAGAAGAAATAAAATAATAAAATAAAATAAAAAATCTCAACGATATTACAATCCTGACTATCATGTTAAAAATAAATACCCACTTCTATCCCGTCAACACATCACGCCACATGATGAAGGACAAACCACTGCTTGGATTGACTAATTGACCCCACACGCTGTAATGTCAATAGCTGCTATTATTTGAGTTATTGGGCTGAACTTTGGTTAAATGATCACTGGTTAAATAATAATAATAATAATAATAATAATAATAATAATAATAATAATAATAATAATAATAATAATAATAATAATAATAATGATAATAATAATGTTTGATGTTCTTAACCTGTTTCGTTATATATTTCTTCACATATTTACACAAAGTTTCATTAATCATTACTCATGGACGTAATACAATATTGTCGAATTACGATACAAAGATAAAACAAAAATATATGTTTGATATTTACGCCATCTTATAATTATTTTCGTCAGTCTGCCTGCTACACACACACACACACACACACACACACACACACACACACACACACGCACACACACACACACACACACAACACACACACACACACACACACACGCACACACACACCCTGAGTCCTCCAAATCAGGCCCGTATGATTGACTCTTATCAGCCTCTCTTGTCATATTCCTTGGAGAAAAATGATAGAGTCTTACATTCCTTCGAGGTATCAGAAAGTTATTTGTTGATATATATTCATAGATTCCTTGGTTTGGATATGACGTGTCAAGAATATACCCAAAAGAATATACAATGAAACCTCTTTTTAACGGATTATATAGAGAAAATTCCATTATATTGAGAGTCCGTTATGTAAAACCTCCAACTAACGACCACAATACACAATTCCAAAACCAAACTGATAGGTTCGTAAAATGGTAAAAATATGTGACAGATCCAACGTACTGTAATGATGTGTGAGAGGGTGAAGGTGGTTGTTGTGGTGAGAGGGTCGAGAATGTACTGTGGGGGGATGAGACCTTCCCTACATCCGTTTGTTTATATATGAGAAGAATATATTTTTAGTATCAATAGTATAGCTAAATCTTCTTCGTTGGTAATAAGGACCTACACGAGACACAGGAGACACCACAAATATAGCCAAGGATAGCCAGATAGCCAAAATACCTAGGAGGTCATGAGAATACGTGAACCGTCCTCTTCCAGGATTGATTTACCGAGTTAAAGGGCCCAGTCAAGGATCTTCTACCCCCAGCTAGAGACACCCCCCCTCAACCCCTAGCGACTTACCTCCCCTCACCCCCAGCCAGCTAACAACAATTCTTTATCCCCAGCCACTACCCTTCTGCCCCCAGCCAGCTACCCTTCTCCCCAGAGCCACCCCTTCGCCCCCAGCCAGCTACCTTCAACCCCAAACTAACTACCCCTAGCCCCCGCAACCACCGATCCTACAACAACCTTTTTCCCTCCTCTTCCACTCTCCCTCCCTTCTCCTTAACCTATCTTCTCCTCCTCTCCTCAACCTCCTCTCCCCCCATCTCCCCCACACCCTCCCCCCATCTCCTCTACCCCAATACTATACAGAGTGTGTCATCTACTTACCCCCGTGGTGGCAGGTCGAGGTAGTCCCGGGATGAATCAGCCAAGCCGCTCCCCATCCTGGCTACCATCTCCCTCAGGAAAGCATCAGGCAGGTCCAGAGGAGCCCCACCCTGGAACACAAATGCAACACACTCATTACCTGTCTCTTACAACACTCAGAAACACTTAAATAACGATGGAAATACGACACAAATGTAACACACACACACACACTGTCTGTTCCCTACAAGACTTAACTACTACTACTACTACTATTACTACTACTACTATTACTATTACTACTACTAAATAATAATAATAATAATAACATACAATTATCATTATCATCTATTCCTTATAAAGTGAAAAAACCTCCATATAACGGAGAGGTGCTTCACATCTAACGGATCCTCGATATAACGGACTTTTCTCCCCATAAAATCCGTTAAATAGAGATTTCACTATAATTGAAAACTTATATGATAAAAACTATAGTTAAAATAATATCTATAACGTGAATTCCATCCGATAAAGAATAAAAACACCAATTATACCATACGTCTATAATCTCAATAAATTATACCAATCAGATTATACCTATTATTTATCACATCATCAATTATACACTAATAATCTCAAATAAATTATACCATATTTTTTTAACGAGTAATTTCTGTAACTGCATAGAGATTAAAAGCTGCTCCACGCAACAAGGACATATGAGCCACAGGAGGGGTAATAATTAGGTGAACTTTTTATATAATAACTAATTAAGGAGAAAACTTAATTATAATCTGTTATATAATATAGTTGTTATACATATATTATACAAGTTATGCATATATTACAGTGAAACCTCTATATAACGGACTTTTCTTGCCGTATATTCCTTTATAAAGAAGTTTTACATTTAACGTACCCTAGATATAACGAACTGTATAAGTGTCATGACCTTTTGACCCTGTATAAGAGTGTATCATGACCTTTTGACCTTGTATAAGTGAGTCATGACCTTTTTTGACCCTGTATAAGTGTCATGACCATGTTTGACCCTGTATAAGTGAGTCATGACCTTTTGACCCAGTATAAGTAAGTCATGACCTTTTTTTGACCCAGTATAAGTGTCATGACCTTTTTTGACCCAGTATAAGAGTGTAGAGTGACTTACCGCAGAGCCAGAGACGTAGGAACCCGTAGCCAGGGAGAGACACGCCCACACCACCAAACATGATCCCGTCTGTAACATCTGCGGGAGGAGGAGAGGGAAGACGTGAAGAGTTATACACTGATATTTATTACTACTGATCTGACATGTATGTATGTATGTATGTGTTTATGTATGTATGTATGTATGTATGTATGTATGTATGTATGTATGTATGTATGTATGTATGTATGTGTTTATGTATGTATGTATGTATGTATGTATGTATGTATGTATGTATGTATGTATGTGTTTATGTATGTATGTGTATGTATGTATGTATGTATGTATGTATGTATGTATGTGTGTGAGATAAATCAGGCCTCTGTAAGGTAATGTGATGACCCAAGCGTCCAGGGGAAGGGAAGGGGGAAGGGGGAGGGAAGGAGAGTGGACAGGGGAGGGAAAGGGGAGAAGGTAGAATGGGAGATGGGGAGATGAGAAAGAAAGAGTAGGGAGAGGAAAGATGGGGAGATGAGGGGACGGGGAAGAGGAGAGAGAGAGAGAGAGAGAGAGAGAGAGAGAGAGAGAGAGAGAGAGAGAGTTGTTACTTATTATTGTGTTATGATGCTGATCAAGGTGGAATGAAGAAGACATATACATATATATATTAGATACATATTGGCTGGCTGGCTACACACAGTATATGTAATCAAAGTAGCATATAGTTAGGTGTGAATCAATTGAGAAGTATTTTTGTGTGTGTTGTGTGTGTGTGTGTGTGTGTGTGTGTGTGTGTGTGTGTGTGTGTGTGTGTGTGTGTGTGTGTGTGTGTGTGTGTGTGTGTGTGTGTGTGTGTGTGTGTGTGTGTGTGTATACTGCGCGTGTCGAAATGAGGCTACTGGTTCGTGGATCACAAGAGAAGGTCAGCTTTAATCCTCAACTCGACAGCACTGAACTAAAACGGGACGACTGATCGCCTTATGAGACTACGTTAAGTAGGTTGAATGTTGACCCTTATCCACGAACACTTTCATAACATGTTAAGATAGGTCAAAGTTGAAGGTTAGAGGTCAATACTGAGGGTCAAGGTCAAAGATCAAGGTTAGTTCTGGGTTAGTGAGGTGAGGACGTAGTTAGGTTAGGTTAGGTTAGGTTAGGTTTAAGTTTGGTTTGGAGAAATTAACTTAGATGAGAACGTACTTAGATTAGGCTTGGTTTAGGTTAGGTTATGTTAGATTAGGTTAATTTAGGTTTTGTTTTGGTTTGGTTTAGGTTAGGTTAGGTTATGTTAGGTTAGGTTATCTTATTGCCTTCCAACTCAAGAATGACCCGTGTCTCTCTCTCTCTCTCTCTCTCTCTCTCCCTTTTGTCTCTCTCTCTCTCTCTCTCTCACTATCCCCTCTCTCTCTCTCTCTCTTTTCTCTCTCTCTCTCTCTCTCTCTCTCACTCTCTCTCTCTCTCTCTCTCTCTCTCTCTCTCTCTCTCTCTCTCTCTCTCTCTCTCTCTCTCTCCGTGTGGTGGTGGCCTTACACAGGAGCATTAATGAAGCACCTGACATTAATCCTCCCAACCTCTCTTCACGGATCAGGTGAGATTATAGTGAAACCCTCTATATAACGGACTATATAGAGAGAAAATTCCGTTATATCGAGTGTGGGTCCGTTAGATGAGAAACCTTCCACCTAACGGATTATATGGAGAAAAGTCCGTTATTTGGAGGGTTTCTCATCTGATGGATTTTTGATATAACGGAATTTCATCTCTATATAATCCGTCTGATGGAGGTTTTTTTTTATCTAACGGACCCTCGATATAACGGAATTTCTTCTCCATATTGTCCGTTAAATAGAGGTTTTCACTGCTAATGAATCTTCCTTCATCATTAACAAAAATAAAAGTATAAAATAGTTATACTGACACTACACACAAGATACACTGACAGTATAAACCTTACATATATATATATATATATAGTCCACTGGCAGTATCCATATGGTACACTGACAGTATATTCCTGGTTCACTGACATATGTACATGATTCACAGGGTATTCCTTATTACACTGACAATACATATTACACTGTACTGTACACACGTTACACTGACTTTATGAAATTAAAAGTAAATATACACAAAGAGAGAGAGAGAGAGAGAGAGAGAGAGAGAGAGAGAGAGAGAGAGAGAGAGAGAGAGAGAGAGAGAGAGAGAGAGAGAGAGAGATCTACCATATGGCGCACAGCAAACACAAACTGTACTCCCCAGCAAGCTTTATGTTACCCTATGAGTACATGGTCATTTGGTACTCTATGTACACACTCACACACACACACGTACTCTAAGTTTATCCACTCGCCTACCGCACTCATTGAAACAACACTACTCAAACAAACACAACTACGCATTCAAGTACTCACGTCTAAAGCCATATGGTACTCAATGTGTTCAGTCATGTAACGCATTATAATACAAGTATGGTACAGTATGAGTACATGGAGTAAGTTTTGAGTACAATGCTTATCAGAAATGAGTACACATTAGTCAGATACGGTCAACACATTACATAAGTCGGTCACTAAAAACGACACCACAGTCACCAACCATATTGTACCTACACACACACACACACACCAACCTACACAGAGCCACCTACTAATACACGAGTATATAAACAGCCCTATATAACGCAAGTATCCATATATCAATAGGTAGATCACACAGACACATCGTATACAATATGGAAACTTAAATTCAATCATTGTAAAGTCAAAACATCGAGATTAAATTAAATAAAATACAGTCTGCTAATTTGGATATTGTATTTTATATAACAGAGAGTTTGGTTATTATATAAATGTTATTTTATCACTATATGGGATATATTCAATACGACGGAGGTCCACAAATTTTCTCACTGCTGTGGTCGCTGAGTCGGGAGTGCAATATCGCTTCAATAACCCACAAGGAAGGTACATAGGTAGTTATTATCTCAAGGAATACATAAAAAGAGGATCTATCTTTATCACATGGAGTAATAAGAAGCCCTAAAATGGAAGCAACAGTTCGCTTAGCTCACCTTATTATCAGCTGCTGGGGAGAGGACTAGCGGGATTCAATATGGCGACGACTCTACGGGCCACTGATGCCAACTATCATCACTAAATGGATATATTTCACCGTCATATATGGGGACAACTAATGCCTAAAACAACACTGTAAAAATAAAAATGCTCCTTTTTAAATATATTACTTTACAGAATATATATCAGTTAAGTAACAGGAAATAGGTAAATGAGATGACGTTGCTTAGCGCAGGCGTATGTGAGGTCTATGTGCCGTTGGAGTGTCATGGTAACAGCAGTATTGATTAAATTCTTCGCGCATACGGGGGCGGGAGGCCAAAGAGCGGCCCTTGTCTGCTTACTGCTCTTGGGTCACGTATGAACAGTAGGTACAAATGTCACGTCACGTATCACCTGTGGTCGTATTCAAGGCCCCCCCCCCCCAAAAAAAAAGAATTGTGTTTTTTCAAGGTTGCAGAAAAAACACACATACATACATATAGGCATAAATACTCATACATGTTCATACTTATATAAAAAAAAAACATTCACACAAATAATATATAAAAATGCACACAAATAGACACAAATATAAAAATATCGTATGTAAACATTAAAGATAGTTGAATATTATCAATAATAATATCAATAATATCATCATCACACACACATCATCAATATCATCATCACACACGCACATCATCATTATCATCACATCATAATCATCAACACCATCTTGACGAGGCAATATCACTTCCACCACAACCTTCTCGTCTGACGCTTCTCTCCCACACTACACCATCAACACACCCTCCTATTTCTCCATTTCCATTTATCATTTCTCTTGTGTCTTTCCTAAACCGCAGGATATTATTAACAGTCTCTTTGACCTATGATAAATGTGTTTGTGTAAGTAATAAGAGTGCGGAGGTCATATTGCAATTATACCTTGCGCTAGTCAGGCCGCACCTCGATTATGCTGTTCAGTTCTGGTGCCATTATTATAGAATGGATATCAATTCACTGGAGTCGGTGCAGCGAAGAATGACGAAAATTATTCCGGGACCTTCTCTATAGATAAAAAAAACTAAACTTGCATTCCCTAGAAAGACGAAGAGTGCGGGGAGATATGATAGAAGTATTTAAGTGGGTGAAAGGAATCAATAAAGGGGATATAGATAAAGTTCTTATAATATCCGAGCAGGATAGGACTCAGAGCAACGGATTTAAGTTGGATAAGTTTAGGTTTAGGAGGGAGATAGGAAGGAACTGGTTCACAAATAGGGTGGTGGACGAGTGGAACAAGCTTAGCAACTTTGTAGTAAGTGGTGGGACGTTGGCAAGTTTTAAAAGGAGGCCATGCACAGGTCAACCGGCCTATTGCAGACTCCTTATTTTCTTATGTTCTTAAACGCTATTTTCAATCTATGCTTTTTAATATTTTTTTCCTATTTCGGTGGACTAGGCTCGTAAGAAAATTCAAGCGTTTAGTTTCTCATCCATAATTTAACACAAGTATTAAACATTGTTCAATTTTTTTTTTTCAGTGAGTTAATTCTCCATCCATTATGTCTATCTATCCTAATTCCTCCCCTTAAGCTATTATCATTAACTAATTGCTACAGCTAATCCATGACTTTCTCTGACGATTCCCGGTATTTCACGCCTAATGTTCTCTTATGTTCACTAGACTGCAGTCATGACCATGGACTCCATCACCTTGAGAGAATTAACATCATTTTATTAATGTATTTAAAATCAGTTTAGTGAGAAAATAACCATAATATAGCAAGCTAGATTAAAGTGTACCCTTTTATGTTGAGCCGGGCATATTGTTTTGGTTTTACGATATATTTTTCACATCTGTAGTTACTGTAGTAGATACAATGTGTTTGTGTGTGTAATAGAATAACTAGAATTATTAAAATCTCTATAAAGAAAAGAAAGGAAAAGTAATGAAACTGATTTAAAAAATAGTTAGTATGTTGAACTTTTGCATAACAACATCGTAGGTGTTTGTACAGTCTGCTTTCATATCTAAATAAATTGACAGACACTTGGGAAGATTTTTTTTTTTGCGAATTTCGTATTCAATTAAACGTCCTTCTCTCCGTGGCGTGGGAATTACTGGAACTTGAATTAAATGTTTGCACCATCCCTTTAAAAATTATTTCACATTTTGTCTCCTATGTAAGTTGACTGTGTTGAATAATGATAAATAAGTTGAACAAAGCCATAATATACTTTGTATTAATATAACTTAGTCCGGTTGATTGTGTTGTCAATAATGTTGATATATTGTTAAAACAGTTTCAAGCATCCGCTGTGATTTAATTTTGTCATCATAACTGACTATTATACTACGGCGACCGTTCCTGTGATCTTCCTCCCCATTAGTATTTTTTATGCTGCCAAGGTATTTTGATATAATTTTATTTTCCAAAAATTCAGCAGAGTTTTTGATTAAAATTAATCTGATGTTTTTTTTTTTTGGCGATTTTCGAGACAAAATGATGTATAAGTACTATAGGGTTAGGTTATGTGTAGTAATTTGATGTTCGTTGATTGCAAACAGCCTATACACCTACGATATATTTACCTTTTATATACTTCATACTTTGATTAATGCATTCCTAAATCTTTCTTCTTATCCGCCATCCGACCGTCATTTATCACAGGGTACCGTACACATCCACTACTAAATTTGTAGTGGAGGGAATCTGTTGGTGTTTTCTTTTAGAGTTGATCATCGAGTGTAGCAAACCTTCATCAATGGTCATATAAACGTGGGTTGTTTACACACACACACACACGCACACACACACACACACACACACACACACACACACACGCACACACACACACACACACACACACACACACACATATATATATATAATGTGTGTATTATTGCAGGGTAGAAGAAGCCCTTGATGGTCATAACAGACTCACCATAAGCTCCTGGCGGCCTCATGTTTCAGCTAAATTAAAGATATAACGCGGTAGGTGTAACAAGTAGGGCTCGTGCGGGTAATAAAGACACGTAATGTTTTTGTTCTAATGTTTGTGTAACTCAAGACGTTCTTAATGACCAGTGTTTTGAGGGAAGTGATCATGGCTCAGAGAGTTCTGTCTCATTATGTTTTAATTGTTGTTAGAAAAGTGTTATTACTAACTTTGTTACCCTTTTAAAGACCATCGTTGTTGAAGCGCAGTAATATCATTATAACATTACCATATCTTGGCTCCGTGTGGTGTGGTGTGGTACACTATGCGGTGCACTAGTGTGACGGCTTGGTACACTGCGGTACTTTAGTATGGCGCTAAGGTACACTAGTGTGATCGTGTGGTACACTATGTGGTCCCAACTAAGTAGCGAAGCCTTCATTATATATATCCCATACATAGTTTTCTTTAAAGCACTTTATTATTATTATTATATAGATGATGTTGTGTCTGACGGTCTGTGTGTGTGTGTGTGTGTGTGTGTCTGACGGTCTGTGTGTGTGTGTGTCTGACGGTCTGTGTGTGTGTGTGTGTGACGGTCTGTGTGTGTGTGTGTGTGTTCTGACGGTCTGTGTGTGTGTGTGTCTGACGGTCTGTGTGTGTGTGTGTTCTCTGACGGTCTGTGTGTGTGTGTGTCTGACGGTCTGTGTGTGTGTGTGTCTGACTTCTGTGTGTGTGTGTGTGTCTGACGGTCTGTGTGTGTGTGTGTGTGTCTGACGGTCTGTGTGTGTGTGTGTGTCTGACGGTCTGTGTGTGTGTGTCTGGACGGTCTGTGTGTGTGTGTGTCTGACGGTCTGTGTGTGTGTGTGTGTGTCTGACGGTCTGTGTGTGTGTGTCTGACGGTCTGTGTGTGTGTGTGTCTGACGGTCTGTGTGTGTGTGTGTCTGACGGTCTGTGTGTGTGTGTGTCTGACGGTCTGTGTGTGTGTGTGTGTCTGACGGGTCTGTGTGTGTGTGTCTGACGGTCTGTCTGTGTGTGTGTGTGTGTGTCTGACGGTCTGTCTGTGTGTGTGTGTGTGTGTGTTCAACAGGTGATTGACGTCTCATCTATAACTCACCTGTACTGAATCTTACCTTGTGCCTCGTCCTTCACTTTTATCTTCTATCATCTTATTCTCCAAATATTTCTTCAAAAACCACATATACTATTTTCATATTACCAACTATCTTTTATCTATCTCCATAACAGTTGCTTTTTGTCGCTTTCATGTTAATCAAATTTAAGAAAAGTAAGTTTATATGTAAATTCTTCCAGTCAGAATTAGGACGGTATAATTTCTCTGTTTTTTTTTCAAGGAGAATATAACAAGTTTGTGTGTCTGGTGGAAGTGAGGTGTTTTGTGTGGATTGAAGAAGTAATGTGTGTGTGTGTGGGTGGGTAATGTGGGTGTGTGTGGGTGGGTAATGTGGGTGTTGTGAGGTTGAGTGTATGGGTGAGTGTGTGGATGAGTGTGGTTGTGGGTATTGTGACTTGTGTGGGTGTAGTGTGAGGGTGTTGTGAGTGGTGTAAGGGCGTGTGGATTTTTTTTTTAGCTTATGTGGATAGTGTGAGGATGTGGTTATGTGGGATGAAAGAGAAGATATGTTTCAAGTAAGGGCTTTACACTATAGCTTATGGTGGTGGGGGGGGGGTTAGGAGTTAAGCGTGGGTATATGAGTGTCTCACATGCACTGGGTGTAGAGTGTGGCAGAGATGACCTATTTCCAGAGACATACAAATCTTTAACTTTACACACACACACACACACACACACACACACACACACTAATTTACATCACAGGTAAAAAAAACGTACAGGTAAATTCTTTCTCTAATCAAAGTGGAAGAAAAAAATATACCATCCAATACCTTTGAGAAAAACAATTATACACTAAATTAATAACAACCATTACCTGTATAAAGTAAACCACACCTGTAAAAAAATAAACCACACCTGTAAAATAAAATAAACCACACCTGTAATAAAAATAAACCACACCTGTAAAAAAAAATAAACCACACTTGTAAAAAAATTAAACCACACCTGTAAACACCAAAACAAATCTTGCTCTAATTAAAAAAGAAAAAAAAGAAGATAAAATTAAAAAAAATAAATAAATCATCTCCATATTTTGTTTACATTACTCATCATTTTCTCGCAGACAAGCTAAAAATATCACGTTTTGGTTATTCATCTTCCTCAGTGTAGCGGGAAGATAAGAGAGAGAGAGAGAGAGAGAGAGAGAGAGAGAGAGAGAGAGAGAGAGAGAGAGAGAGAGAGAGAGGTTGCCTGGGAGGGGGTGGCCGTAATAGGAATTAGGCTGGGTAAGGTCAGGGGTCACTGGCAGCTCACACAGAAACACCCTTGCAGCCACTAGGATTTGTATGTGTATGTGTATGTGTGTGTGTGTGTGTGTGTGTGTGTGTGTGTGTGTGTGTGTGTGTGTGTGTGTGTGTGTGAAGGAGACTGGGATAGTTATGGTGGAGCCTAGGATAGTGTGAAGGAGCCTAGGATAGTTATGGTGGAGCCAGGATAGTTATGGTGGAGCCTAGGATAGTTATAGGATGTGAAGGAGCCTAGGATATTTATGGTGGAGCCTAGGAAAGTGTGGGCCAGGATGGTGTGAAGGAGCCTAGGATGGTTATGGTGGAGCCTAGATAGTGTGAAGGAGCCTAGGATAGTTATGGTGGAGCCTAGGATAATTATGGTGGAGCCTAGGATAGTTATGGTGGAGCCTGGGATGGTGTGAAGGGCCTGTGTGAAGGAGCCTAGGATGTGTGAAGGAAGGATGGTGTGAAGGAGCCTAGTTATGGTGGAGCCTAGGAAAGTGTGAAGGAGCCTAGGATAGTGTGAAGGAGCCTAGGATAGTGTGAAGGAGCCTAGGATAGTTATGAAGGAGCCTAGGAAAGTTTGAAGGAGCCGAGGATGTGGAGCAAGGTGGTAGTGTCTGAAGTTGACCTTTTCCCCGACAATTCCTGACAAATATATTCAATTATATGCAAGTATGAGGCGGCTTGTTGCGTGTGCTCATTATTAATAGTGATAGTGGGTGTGGGTGGTGTGGGTGGTGGTGTGGGTAGTGGTGGGTGGTGGTGGTGGTGGTGTGGGTAGTGGTGTGGGTAGTGATGTGGGTGGTGGAGTGGGTAATGGTGGGTGGTGGTGGTGGTGGTGTGTGGGTAGTGATGTGGGTAGTGATGTGGGTGGTGGTGTGGGTGGTGGTCTGTGGTGGTGGCTTGTGGGTGGTGGCTGTGGGTGGTGGTCTGGGTGGTGGCTTGTGGGTGGTGGCTTGTGGGTGGTGGCCTGTGGGTGGTGGCTTGTGGTGGTGGCCTGTGGGTGGTGGCCTGTGGGTGGTGGCTTGTGGGTGGTGGCCTGTGGGTGGTGGTGTGTGGGTGGTGGTCTGTGGGTGTTGGTCTGTGGGTGGTGGCCTGTGGGTGGTGGCTTGTGGGTGGCGGCCTGTGGGTGGTGGCCTGTGGGTGGCGGCCTGTGGGTGGTGGTCTGTGGGTGGTGGCTTGTGGGTGGCAGCCTATTGTACTGTGCACCCATTATGGCAACACTGACCACAGAAAACTCCATAATAATATTTAACATTTTTGAGAATTATTTACTCTAGTCACTATATTGTTTTCAGGGCTTACGTAATTTTTCTCTAAACAAAAGACATTAAAATAATATTGGTAATAAAACACAGAATTTATAAGAAGCAAGATTATATTTGTCTTCTGAGGAATTAGTAAATACTTTCTTGATTACATTTCTACCATAATTATTGCTCATTAATTAGATTCACCATACAGGATAATACTTCATCCAACAACAACTCCTACTTTTCCTACAGAGGCAATTATCCTAAAACACAATCACCGTATTTAGGTTAGGTTAGATTAAAACCTAACCTAACCTAACCAAACCACAGTAGTAGGGGTGCCTAATCTCTCCCCTGAAGCATATAGGGAAGCCATGACACCTGAGATGCCCTTATCTTACCTGTGACCTCAGACATCCCAGGGCCTGAGAGAGAGAGAGAGAGAGAGAGAGAGAGAGAGAGAGAGAGAGAGAGAGAGAGAGCCCTCAACTCCAGCTAGGAAGTTCTCGGAGCAGGAGCTGGTGGTGGATAAGGGGGGACTGCTCCGTTACTGCCCGAGGAGCTAAGTAACACCATACGTGACACTTCGACATGACAGGCGAATATGATAAATTTGGTAGGTAACTATAATCGCCCTTTTATCACGATGCTTCAAGGGTCAAATTAAAGTAGCCAGACTACAACCATCCATCTATAACCATCCGTCTACAACCATCCATCTACAACCATCCATCTATAACCATCCGTCTACAACCATCCGTCTACAACCATCCATCTACAACCATCCACCTACAACCATCCACCTACAACCATCCATCTACAACCGTCTCTTCCGCTGGAGGATGGCTAAGCACTGATCCAAATCATTCCTATTAGAGGTGACGATACCACACAGTAGCTTCTCGTAACACAGGTCATCACAGGTCACCTCCAGGAACGGGTCACCGGCACTCACATAGTTCCTGCCGAGAGAGAGAGAGAGAGAGACAAGGGGTGAAATGAGAGATGAAGTGAGTGAGGTGAAGGGATGAGGTGAGAGATGAAGGGTGAGGTGTGAATCGAACGGTCGAAGTGAGACAGGTGGTTGGTGTGATTAGAACAACAAGAACAACGTGAAGAAGAAGAAGAACTCACTCACTCACTGACCTATAAAACAGCATAAAATCTACCACTGATATATGATACACCTTACCTGAAGTACATGTCAAAGAGTTCTCTATCCTCGGCCATACGGTGAGCCAAGTCCTCCCAGTCAGCCGGTGTGAGTGAGGTCATACCGTACTGTTCCCTAGCACTGTATAGTTGGTACCATCTCACTAGCCCGGTCTCCTGCGCCTCTGTCAAGTTCATGATGTACGTCTCGTGGTCCAACACAAGCTATGGGGAAAGAGTGGTGGGGTTTGTATGTGTATTATGATGATGATGGAAGTGGTATTATGTTGTAAGGTAATATATAGACACACACACACACACACACACACACACACACACACACACACACACATACGTACACTACAGTATACTGACTCAACCCAACCCCACCGATAAAGAGTAGAATGTTAAACCACCAATTAAAAATAAACCAAAGTATCTAAACTCTACACTACAGTTAAACCCTTGAAAAGCAAAAAAAAACATGAAAACATGATAATTATATAACTTCAAGAACCAGGATACAAAATAAAACAACCCTCACCCTAGTTGTATTCTCCCGGTCGCCGTCAACATGATAGATCCGATAGGCAGGATTAAGGTAGTACCAAGGTGTTTGACTCGGACAGATATACGCTACACTCACTGGCCTGTCACCATCATGGAAGATCTCTACCTCGTCGTAGTGTGTGTGACCGTAGAACTGTCCACGGATGATATTTTCGTACCTGTAGTGAGGTTAAATGTAGAGAGGTAGGTGTGAAGAAGAATCGCCAGGTAAATAATTAGGATGGTGTTTTAGGATGTGATGTGTTTTGGTTTAGTTTAGTTTCATGGTTAGGTTAGGTTAGGTTAGGTTAGGTTAGGTTAGGTTAGATTGGAAATGACGTGATAATTACAATGTTATAAATTTTTTCTTCGTCTTCTTTTCTCATAACAGATCCAAGACTTATTACCTGACGACGATCTTGTTGTACTCCCGTGACCAGGTCCTCTCGGTAGATATCAACCCTGGGGGGACGTGTCCCAGCAGGTGCACCAGTTCACCCGCTGCCTCTGCCTTGTTCAGTTCTTCCTCCAGCCATGCCAGCTCATCTCCTGGATCCTGAGAATTCTCCACCAGCCACCTGTAGGAGAGAGAAGGTGAGGAGAATGGGTGGGTGGGGTGTGTAGGTGAGGAGAATGGGTGGGTGGGGTGTGTAGGTGAGGAGAATGGGTGGGTGGGGTGTGTAGGTGAGGAGAATGGTGTGGGTGGGTGGGGTGTGTAGGTGAGGGTGGTAAGTAGGGTGAGAAGAATGGGTGGGGTGTAATGAGAGAAGGTGGGGGATTGGTGGAGGCGATATTCTGAATAAGGTGACAAATTCTTAAAAAAAAAAAATCCCATAAAAGTTTAAAAGGGACAAAAAATCGAAGAAAATATCTAACCAAAGAAAAAATACAATAAAACTTCGTCGAATGAAAAGACAAAACAGGGAATAACAAGAGAACTATAAATACTAGAATAAGAGACAAGGAACAAATCAATATCCGAAAGGTGTTGATGAAGAGGTGCGAGGCCAACACTCACAGGTTGGTGGCGTAGCCGAACATCGTGTTGAAGGAGATGATTCTGAACCCAGGCTTCACCAACACTGAGTAATAGGCGCCTCTCATCACGGTGGAGTTGTCGAGGTGTGGCACTAGATGGGACCACTGCTCAATCAGCCCCTGGTAGAGCCATGTAGCCGCTAGATCCTGAGGCGTGTCTTCAGCATTAGGATTCGGGAACCTAACGGAGAGAGAGAGAGAGAGAGACGGGTATATATACTCACTGTTCAAGGTACACACACTCACTACTCTAGGGCTACACACACGCACACACACGCACACACTCACTGGTCAATAGGGCTCATCTCGTGGTTGCCGACGACGGGAAAGATGGGAGTGTTAGGGAAGTACTTGCGGACCATCTCGTATGTTTCTCTCACCATGCGTAGGTTCCACTCCTTAGAGGTCGACCACATATTGTGAGGCACCACGTCTCCCGTCCATACCACGTAGTCTATGTCCTGTAGGAAGCCTGGGGTCATTGTGAGGTCGTGTAGGAGGGGGATCCTTTGTGTGTGTGTGTGTGTGTGTTTTTTTTTTATATTCAAGATTAATGTAAACACAGACAGTACCGGGAAGGTGTAACTTAGACAGTTCCGGGATGGTGTAACACAATACCGGGAACGTGTAATATAGTACCGGAAAGGTGTAACATAGTACCGGAAAGGTGTAGCATAGTACCGGGATGGTGTAACTTAGACAGTACCGGGAAGGTGTAACATGGACAGTACCGGGAAGGTGTAACATAGACCGTACCGGGTGGGTGAGGGTGATGTGAGCCAACATGTCCTCCAGCATCCAGGGAGGTGAACCACAGTGCCGGTAATCTCCCCAGTACCACGCCTTTTCCTCCTCTGTATCCGGTACACCTGTGAAGGAGGAGACGTGAATGGCCCATCGTAATTATTCTATTTTTACCGGAAATAATTAATTAGAATATTGGAATCTCTCTCTCTCTCTCTCTCTCTCTCTCTCTCTCTCTCTCTCTCTCTCTCTCTCTCTCTCTCTCTCTCTCTCTCTCTCTCTCTCTCTCTCTCTCTCTCTCTCTCTCTCTCTCTCTCTCCTTGTCATCCTTGCCCCTCCCCAAAACCACGACCTTGGACTGTACACCTCTGGCTAGTGATGTTGTATAGTTCTCAGGCCATACTACATCTCTAGAGTGATAACACACACACACACACACACACACACACACACACACACACACACACACACACACACACACACACACACACCACGCACAGAGTCATTCCTGCAGCAGAGGTTCAGAGCAGTGAGCGAGGGAACCCGGCTGGTAGAGGATCCATATGAGGGTCAGCTAGTTGTAGGACCTTCAACCTCCGCTCCTCGTCCTGTATATTACAACAAGTGGTGGTCAGACGTGTGTGTGAGAGAGAGAGAGAGAGAGGTTGGTGCCATACAAGAGGAGTATAATAGTCTTTCTCTTACACACACACACACACACACAAGTGGCTACAACATCATACCTTAGGAAGAACAATAGGTTGAATGGGTGGTTTAGTGCCTTGAAGGGTGACAGACCATTCTCTATCAGGGTTAGTGGACGTACACCCGATGCTACTCATGACCTCCCCGCAGGCGTCACTAGCGGAGATGTTGTTGGTGCTGAGTATATGGTACACGGCAGGCTGTTAGAGGGTGATGAAGGGGGGTGGAGACTTGGTAAATATGATGGCCTTATGATACTGATGACTTAACTTAGGTATATGCAATGGAAATCAATAGGGGGGGAAGGTGTGATTAATATGGGATTTGATATTTCACTTTGTTTTTACTTTATATATAAGTTGAGGATGTGAGTCTTTGTGTGTGGATGGGGTAGTGTGTAGGTGTGGATGGGGGGAGTGTGTGTGTGTGTGTGGAGGGAGTGTGTGTGTGTGTGGATGAGGTCTTGTGTGTTTTTCATTCCCCTTTTCATAAGGGACCTAAAACCCGAATAAGGAACCTAGAACCAGTATAAGGGACCTAGAACCAGTATAAGGGACCTAAATCCAGTATAAAGAACATAGAACCCGTATAAGGAACCTAGAACCAGTATACGGAACATAGAACCAGTATAAGGAACACAGAACCAGTATAAGGAACACAGAACCAGTATAAGGAACCTAGAACCATCAACAAAGTGGTATACTGACAGCGACGAGTGGAATGAATCCATCACAGTAGACTTTGGTCATGCCGGTGACGGTGACGCAGACGGCGATGGCTTCCTTTACCAACGTGTCGTAACCTACTCCCTCCTTCATCTCCGCCGTCAGGAAGTCAAACGCTATCGCACACTCCAGGCACATCACATTTGCTGGTTTAAAAGGGGATACAAGTGGGACGTTTTATACATTATAATTGATGAAGTCATATAGAGTGACATTCTCCCGCGACATTACACGAGTTAAGATATTGTACAGACAGACACACATCACAGACCTTCAGCTTCATCCTGGGGTGGTAAAGGATCCTCAGGCCCCAAGGCTGGTGCGTGTAGACGGTCCAAGATGATACTTCTTGGTGATGGTGCCCCTTGAGGTGTGAGCCGCGGCAGGGTTTTCTTCACCGGTGACTTCACTGGTGGAGGTGACGTCCATGCCAGTGTCAGCAGCGTCACAAACGTCACAGTGAAGAGACGCCCTGGGAGGAAGGGGTTGATAGTAAAATAGGATCCCATAGGCATGCTGTATATAAACTTTTGGGTACATAAGGAGGCAGCATGGCCGGCACTACACTCAACACCCTAAAGACAGTCTTACCCATGTTACTGTCTGTGCCGAGGCTGAGGAATCGACAATGAAAGATACTCCTCTAGTGAAGAATTTATATTCTCTGATGCCAGATTACTAATACCTGTAATAATTCAGGTGTCAAGGCAAGATAACCTAAATTAGTTGGACTTTGACGCTCCCAGTAGTAGAATAATATTATTATTTGAAGTAGATATGACATATCTTGGGTCACAATTAATTTAAATAGTTTTGTGCTAATATACATATTATAAATTCAGAGGATAACAGACGTAAGAAATACTAAAGGTGATGATGTAAGAAAAAACTAATATGGCTACACCTGGTTAATTCCCTTATAACCAGTTAGCCCCTGAGAAGCACCAGGTGTCATTATGCTATCACGTTCCCGCACTTAGGTTTTGGAGGACGCTCTCACTACCATAGAGAAAAATGCACCTAGCAACTGACAATATACATACATCACTATTAGTATTTTTCTTATGAATCTAGCTATTTCGGTAGACTAGGACAGCAACTTAAAGAAACAGATGTAATTCCTTACCTCAGGGACAGGAGTATATCTTTGGACTAAATATAATAGATTTTCAAATCAAATAACCTTTGCCTGGCAGTCATAACAACTTTTTTTTTTATTAACGTCATACTAATTCTCTAAACTTAAAGGAAGGTAATACTTCGTTGTCTTCCTTTTCCTATAATCAGTTGATCCTCTCTTCCTAGTTTAGGTTAGACTAGGTTTTGATCGAAATGCTAAGGCCCAGAAAATTTTTAGTATTCCACACCGATGTTGCACTTCGATTCATGTTACTATGGGGAGGATATGATGTTTATTCAAAGTTTCACGGTCACTTGTAATTTTATTTTCTGTGAAACATTGTAATAGAAAACGAATTAATTTCTAGGTGGACTGCTCTGGATGAATTGTGATAAAAATCAATATTACTTCAGCTACAGTTTTTCTTGTCAGCAGTTCCTTTGTATGCTTAGCCGGGCAAATATAATAAACTATTCGAATTAAGTGAAATCAATCCGTAATCTCCCCAACGCTGTTATCTTCCCAATGTAAGGGGGGTAGTTTTTATTTCACGTTTATTCAATTTATTCTTCAGTTGAAGCTTTCAACATCACTCACAAGGGATCTTTAATGTTCCATCTGTAATCAGACATATCTAATTTGCTTAATATATACAACTACAGTTGCAATTTCAAATTTTGTGTCGTCATACTAAGGAATAACGGAGTCTCGGGTGAACTCCAAGATTGAGAGAAAACGGAGGACTCAGGCGTCCTGAAGTAATGAGAAAACGGATGCCTTAGATGGGGTACTCAATAAAGAAGGCATAGCTACATGTTTGGTGGGCTATTGAGCGTAATATGAATCGTCCGATTTTACGTTAACTGACGTGTACGACCGTGGTCATTACACCAACACTACCATTTCCCTAATACTGTCATCTCTCCAACACTGTCATCTCCCAACACTATCATTTCACCATAATATACGTTATTATTATTGAATTATGCTTTTATGTAAGTTTTGATATATACATATAACATGTTGTTGTGTTCGTCTTTTCTCTTTAGCTCTTTGTCAATATTCCTTATAAATACACACTACGCGATGGGGACCGATAAATTCTATAATGGGTGGAGAAAACTTTGAAGAAATATTGATCCATACTGTTAGCAAGTACTGGGCATGTACTGTTAGCCGATCAGTGGTGCAGAGGATAAACGTAAAAAAAAGATCCTGTTCCAGTGCTGGTCAAGTCTGGTCAGCTTACACTCAGTGCATCTCTGTTTGGTAGGTTATCTATCAAGGTTCTTGGGAAATAAATGTCAGGGTAATACAAGAATTATTTAATGACTTACTAAATATATAAAAACATAGTATCAATAATAATAATAAAATAGCTACTAGACCCAAATAAACAAGATAGTGTTTTAATACCTTACAATGGCTTCAACTAAGACATAGAACGAAATGTATAACGTCATAATGACCATATATAATCCACTGCTTTTTGTAACCGACTGCATTTTCTGATTAATACTTCTTATTTAAATATATCAATAAAGTGAATCAATATGGATTTTACTTTGTGATTATCATTATTTAAAGTATATGATGACGCAAAAAGTTTATCCTTAAATATTTAAAAAAAAACATTATATAATAATTATTTATCATAGAATTATACTTTTTTATTCATCAAACATACATAAAAAATTAATTAAATAGTGTTAAAAAGTAAAGCCTAAGCCGGTGACAGAGGATCCTAATACAAGCCAATCAGCAACAGCCGTGTAGGTGGACTGAGACTGACAGACACAACAGCTCTAGGAAGATGTTGACAGCAGTTCTTAAGTTACTATTGGTCCTGGTGATAGGATTAGTGAGTTTAGGTGGAGGTGTTGTAGGTAAGATAGCAGAGGAACAATGTCACACCTTTGCTGGAGGAGCTGTCTATCCTAACACGGAAGGAAGGGCGTCTGGTCATAACCTGCAGTGGACTAAGGCTATGAGTATGTTCTTCATTTATTTCAGTCTGTTTTTTTAATTCATTTTACAGTTTGTTGTTAATTCATCTCAGGTTAATGATGGTGGAGACGGTTAACACCACCAGGAAGTTTATGTCTCGTTCATTTTTTTTTCGCATAAATGTTGTTTGAATAATATTCTTGTTACCAAAGCTTCCTGAGGGAGGCTGTACCATTGTTACCATATTGAATCAAACTTAAGATCAGTAAGTTAGGTTAAGTTAAGTTTGGTTGGTGTTTGTTGTGTGTGATCATTTGGTTAACCTTGCAGCCTGTTGTTAACTGGGACACTTTTTGTGGTGATATGAACTTTTACTTTCTGTTTACTTTTAATTCACCCTTGTATGTTTAACAGATTTGCATTCTGTACTTTGAAACTAGTGCCGAGTTCTTCAACTGAAGTTACCAAGTATATATAAGTTATGGTAATAACTCGGCTCTGGCCTGGAAGCAGCTTGTACGTTAACAGATGTCTGGTGTTACTGTACCATGGATAACGTTCATATTTTTGTACATATTTGTTACTTTGAAGACGTTTAGAAATTAATTATAGCTATATGTACTTAGAATGTGTATTAGTTAAACTTGCCAGTTTGGGTCCCATTGTATGTAAACACACAAGAGATGGCATGAATAATCAGTTTATAAAGTTTGATGTAAAGGGCTGTTTCTCAGTTTTGTGTGTGTCAAACTGGAATATTTTTTTCTGAAATTAGAAATTATTTATTTTTTGCCATTCCTCTATTATGATGTGAGAAATTGTTTTTCTGGTGTATTTTTGTCAAATATGACCATAATTTTTTGTGTAAATGTGCATTATTTTTCAAGAAAATGACCTAACCTTACCTAACTTCCTAGCCAGGGGGACTCTGCCCCCGGACCCCCCTCCATATTAAGCAGAAAGTACTTTTTTTTATATTTGGTCCCAATGAAAGTAGCTTTGTTGAAGTGTCATGGTGTAATTTTATGTTTTTGTGGACGTGAGGGCACGCTCGGACCGTTTGGGTCGGTTTTAAACAGACAGAGCGGATGACAACAGCAGGTACAGTACCTAATATTTGAGGGTAAATATATAAAAAACTAAGTATTTTTACAAGAAATGTTACTCTAAATATCGATTCATAATTAAAAAAAAATATTTTGGGAAGTCAAAAACACTAGAAGAGGAATGGGTGAAAGACGAATATTAACCCTGAAATTATTGCTGGAATAATATGGATTTCAAAATACTACTTCAGTTTTCTTTATCATATCAGTCACAGTACAGTAGCTTCATGAGATACCAGCAGTGACTTTGATGCACATTAAGAATTAATTAAACCTCTATTTAATGGATTATATGGAGAAGAAAGTCTATTATATCGAGGGTCTATTTGGTGTGAAACCTCCATGTAACGAACTATATGGAGAGAAAAGTCCATTATATGGAGGCTTTACTGTTGGAATGCAAGGCTTACCTTTTCTTTCTCTTGTAAATGATAGATGTAGGGAAATTATTACAGAATTTTCATTGTAAAATAACTTCTGACATTTCATATTTTATTTCAGTAAGTAAACCTGCACCAGCATGGGACGGTACAGCGGTAATTGACGGTCGGTTTCAGGAGCTGAAACTCTCAGACTATCGTGGCAAATACCTTGTCTTCTTCTTCTACCCCTTAGACTTGTGAGTTGGCAAAAATTTATTGTTTTTACTTTGTGGGTTGTAGAAGTTTGTAATTATTAAAGTCATAGATACAGTAAAATTGATCACTAGCAGAGCCTCTTCAGGGAATGTTGGTAATTGATGAACAGGATTCAGTTTGATAATGGTGAATCATCATGGGTAAAACCTGCAAGTGGGAGGTGTCTTCTACAGATGTGTGGAGTGAATTGTTGTGTATATATGAGAGTGGCAAATAAAAGACCCCAAGAAAGTGCTGTTGGAACTATTTTGTATTATTAGGTTGAGAAGAATTGTAGGGTGTAATTAGTTTAGCATTGTTACCTGTATTGAAATGTAGGTGTAAATATTAATGTCATTTAGTTATTTAACCCTTTGAGTCCTGGAAGGTTAACTCATCATGCTTAAAGGATTAAACCATCGTCTTCAAAGAGTTAAAGTGATAAAATTTCAAATGTATGAATGATAGATACAGTTTTCTTAATAATTTTTTTTTTCAGTACTTTTGTCTGTCCGACCGAAATTTTAGCATTCAACGACAGAGTGGAGGAGTTTAGGAAATTGAATACAGAAGTTGTCGCTTGTTCCATTGATTCTCACTTTACTCACCTCGCTTGGACCAACACCGCTCGTAAGGTAGGTCGATTAAAAAAGGATAAATACAATACCAGTATAATGTGATAATTTTATTGTAAGTCTGGATATGTTGTGTGAGATTAAAGAACAGTGAAACCTCCATGTAAAGGTCTTCTCTCTTCTCCATATACTCTGTTAAATGGGAGGGGTTTTGACATTTAAAGGACCCTTGCTATAACAGACTTAAATCTATATAGTCCACTAGATGGAGGTTTCACATCTAACAGACCTCAATATAATGGACATTCCACTCAATTTAGTGTATTAAATAGAGGTTTCAGTGAAATTGGTAGATCATAGAGCACAGTACAGCATCAACAAGCTTACAGGTTTGACCCCGGTATTTCCAAAACTCCAATACTTGTATGACTGGGACTCTAATCCAGATATTCAGTAAAAACCCAGAGAACTTGATGTAGTATGGTATGTACAGGATCTTGATTGACTCAACCACTGTTCATAAAAATAAAGAGGGGGGTAGGCTTCAGTGAGTCAGTTGCTAGAGCACTGCTGGATTTAGACCTGTGGAGGCCCATGGGCAGCCTCTTTGTGGAGGCCCCCCCCCCCTCATTATAACTACCCAAGAGGGTGGGGTGGCGAGTGAAGCGAGCCTAAACATCTGGGAGTTCCGGGGGGGCGCTGTAAGCCCCCCGGGAAAATTTTGAAATTTGAACACTTCTTTGGAGAATTTTGAAGCCATATGCAGTTATATTGAGGAAATTAGAACATATTGTAATATGTGGAGGCCTCCAGATTGTGGAGGCCCCTGGGCAGCTGCCCACTTTGCCCACTCCTGAATCCAGCCCTGTGCTAGAGGCTGAGAACTAAGAATGTGCTGTACAGTATTCCATTATCCAATGGGTAAAATCAGGATAGGTGCTCAGGTCCTCAGCTCCTAGTTACACCTCCTGCTGGTCAGACTTATATTTACTCTGTCTGTGATTTTGGCAGCTAAGTCCTTATTATATTTTGGGAATTAATTACTGGTTTATTTTGTGGTGCTTATTTAAGGGTAGACTAGTTGCCAAGCAGTCTTAGGCATTAGTGTTATGTCAGGATTATTCGAATTTCCAGCCTATAGCTTGTCTTAGTGAGCGCTTTACACCTGTTGCATAGTTGCAGTCTTGGCCATAAAATTAAATGTCTTGCTTAATCCTTCAGAGTGTTTATCTTTATCCATATAGTCAGTGTTGTATATGTAATGATGTGTATTATTTCAGGATGGTGGTTTGGGTAAGCTGAAGATACCTCTGCTGTCTGATATCACACACAAGATTTCAAAAGACTATGGAGTTTACCTAGAAGATCAAGGTATTGCTCTCAGGTAATGTATCTAACTACTACCTACCACATGTAACCACCAAAAATATTATCTGGCTCATGCCACGGGTCAGTGAATTGTGTACAGTTCACAGATCTAAGGCTTGATAACTAGGATTCCCAGGACTGTTCATGTGTGTCTTGGAATTAATTATGGAATTTATCCCCAAAAGCTTGTCAAGTCTTTCCCAACATAACCCTATCCCATATTATACTGTATATGAAAGGGGAGTATAGGAGGCGTGACTTGCCATACTGACATTGTGTTGAGCCTTGGCTACTGTGTTAACATGTGATGCTTCATGATCACAGTTGTCAACAGTTAGGATTGAGCTTCTGAATTCACTCCATCCCTGAATTTGAGTAATTAGTGTTAATGAGCCACAATGACACTTTAAATAATCACAACATATTTAGAATATTTAAGATACCAATTATGCAATTTCTGTAAAATTTTAAATAATTTTATATATATTTTACTATGGATATAGGCTGTCTTTACTCTTTAAACAAGTTACTTTTCACCTTCCGCATAAAATGTTTTGTTTTTAAAGAATGCCTAACCTGACTGCGAGGTGTCTTGAGTTATTGTTACTTGAGTTTGTCCATTGCTATTGAGTTTTCAGTGATGTTATCCCACTTCCAGGGGTTTGTTCATTATTGACGACAAAGGTGTGTTGCGTCAGATAACGATGAATGACCTTCCTGTTGGACGCTCGGTGGATGAAACCCTTCGCTTGGTACAGGCATTCCAGTTTACTGATGACCACGGGGAAGTTTGCCCCGCTGGCTGGAAGCCTGGTGATGACACTGTAAGTAATTATGACTTGTTCCTTAAAGAGAGGTTGATGGTGACATTATATGGGAAAAATATCTACTTTGTAAGAATAATAAAACCATGAAGTTGTTTTGTAAATTTAATAAGTACAACTTGTGGGTAAAAATAGGAATGGTAAAAAATGGGGGATGTCACAGCCATTAGAATGAAAGGTTGAAGTCAAGTGAAAGAGTCTACTGTATTTGTGTTTGATTCTGGCCATATTGGAAAAGTACTTGCCTGAATCGTAATAAAATGCCTCATTCTTATAATACCTGTACTGTACATGCTTAATTAATATAAAATACTTATTTATTATTTAGTGTATATATTTATTTTATTTTTTCAGATCATCCCTAATCCCCAGGAGAAACTCAAGTACTTCAAAAAGGCAAATCAGTAGTGGTCAGTGCTGAGGAGGTAAAACTTAACATTCTTGAGGGGAGTATTCCAGGAGACAGGGGAGGAAACCCCTAACATTATAATTCATTCACAAAACAAATGCTTACAAGTGAACCACAAAAGAGTAGCTCTTAAGGTATAGTATTGAGTAAGAGGAATATTTATACCATAAGTAAGGACCAAGTTTGTCATTGTTTAAATTGTTACAATATGCACAAAATTAGTTCTGCATACTTTTTTTTCGGTGAATGATGCTTTTCTCTTCTGTGAAACTTGCTGAAAGAATTATGGTCCAACTCTTTTTATAGATAATCTAAACTGAAATAATTATGGTCCAACTCTTTTTATAGATAATCTAAACTGAAATAATTAGGTGGCACTAGTAGTTTTGTTGCTCAGTTTCAGTCAGGTGTTAAGAGTATTTTTTCTCCAACTTTTGGCAAAATGTATGGGTCATAACAAGATTTCCTGTGTGAGTTGGAATGGTAGAACCTGCGGCTATCGTTGATCATGTAGTCTCGGTTAGATGAAAGGAAGTACAGTACTGTATATACAACTCCTTAGACTGAAGTTGTGAGTACATTCAGACAGATGAAAAGAAACTTGTGATTTGCCCTGTATCTTGTTGCTCAGGAGCTTTCAAGCTTAGGAATAGATCATTTTAGAATGTGGTCTTTGTCCAAGAAAAATGATGACTGGAGCAAACTGCTTTTGGTTCACTGTCTCAGTTACTGGGAAACGTATTAATTTTAAGCTGTTTTACCAGCCCTGTGTGTGGCTTGTCAGTGATTTTGTTGATACAAAAAAATGTTGATGAAGCATTCACTGATGGAGGAAATTTGATTTATAGACTGACTCAGCGTGTGAATAACTTGCCATTGTTCCTGTCATGGAGATCAAGGGATTTTAGTGAGTAAAGTGTTCCTTGTTATTGATAAGGAAGTATTAGGATTGAAATATGTTTGGATTACTGTATCAGTAAATGCTTGCGAGTGCTACTTGGAAGAGGTATTGTGGTTACAAGTCTTATTTTTTTAAACATTTCATTTGCAGTGAACATTCTTCTCGTGAAAGCAATTTACACAGGTTTATCAGAAAGAATTTTTGTATTTTCATTGGTGTAGCTTATTGTGACTGTCAAAGGTAAAGTTATTGTTGATGGTGGATCAGTTTTGTGGGAGAAGTAGAGGGGGAGGCTTACACTTGTATTGATGATTGTGTTCTGTGTCCACATTGAAACCTCTCTTCACTGTCTGGTCTGCTACAGGTCCTTAACATTTACATTTTTTTTCTTCATATATGACTGCTAATGCCCCTTTGTATATTGCTATTAACTCTACCTAGACTTATCTTCTCTTTTTTTTCCCTGTTTATTGCCACTTTATTTCCTCTACTTATTACCACAGCTTCTTATTGAGTATATTTGTTGAGGCATCTCCCATCCATTCCACACATTCTTGCTTCCCAGTACAGGCATGTGGCAACTACGGCAACCATGCTGATAACCAGTGTTCCTTGAAGTGTGTTTTAACGTAACAGTGGCTGGGATATTTAGTTTAAAATTTTATAGGAAGGCAAAGATTCTCGTGCAAGGGGGTGCATATTGTTACAAGTTCTCATATATACATGTAATACAGTGAAACCTCCATATAGTGGACTTCTCTCTTCATATAAATTGTTAGATGGGCGTTTCACATCCAACAGACCCTCAATATAATGGACTTTCATATTTATATAGTTCATTAGATGGGGGTTTCATGTTTTAATAGACCCTTGATATAATGAACTTTCATCTTAATATAGTCCATTAAATAGAGGTTTCACTGTAGTTGCTTGATCATTTTACTGAAAATTAATAATTTCTAATGAATAATTATCTCCCCAAAATGCCATACTGTATATGGTATTATGAGTAATTACAGAATAATCTAGAAAATTCCATCTTGCAAAATAAACCCTTCTACTTTTCTAGCAAGCCACAAGCAGGTGGTATCTAAGAAAGTTGTAAAATTGTATCTATTGTTCATGTTCTGGGAATTGACTACTGGTAATCAAATGTTGTTTATAGAATTTTGGAAACCTTTGGCTAATACAGTATACTGGACTGTAGTTGGGTCTCAAAATTCACAATATCAATCTAAATGACATTTGTAGTTGTATTTTATCATTAACTTTTAAAACGTTTTGTGAGACTGTTTGACTGTGAAAGTCTTTTAATGAATATAAGTTTAAACACAGAGCTTAAGTTATATTTAAGTGAAGCTTTAGATGTTGGTCTATGAAGGTTAAGATTACAGTACAGTACAATTTTTGTTATTTTTCAGATTTGGTTCACAATTGGTTTTGTTGTTGAACTTTCTAATTTTTCATTAAAGTTTTACATAACATAGACTAGTTTACTTGTCCTCTTTGCACCGTATTGTTTAGCATTGATGTTTCTCATTGGATTTTTTATCCTAACGGAAAAAAGTAACTTACGATGGAAATATAATACTAATATCTTGACAGCTGTAATATATATGATGTATACATCATGTATATCTTAAAACATAAAAATTTTGATATAGTATTACACATTCAAGTGGGCAGTCCCAAACTTACGAACACCCGCACTTTTGAATGGGATACCAATACAGATACAGTATATTCATCACAAAAATCTTAGAGTAAATTAAAAACCCATTTCTTACATTACTTTAATTACTTAAAAATAGTTTAAAATCACTATTTGCAGTATTTGTTATGTGTGGGATATTCCTGTTGTTTTGTGTGGGCAAAGTTGTGTTTTAAGCTAACATAACCAATGGAATTAACACTTCCGACACGAACAGCGTCCAAAAGAATACTGGTAATCTGTTGGTAATTCGGGGTCTGCCTTTATAGATAACGGAACTAGAGGTGGAGGTAGGTAGTGATCATACAAAGAAGAATCGGGAATAGAAAGTAAACACCAGATATTGAAGATTTAAGTATGGCTGGTACTGTATATTGTTTGTTACTGTTTCATAGAATTTAGTATGGCTGAGAGTTAGGGCTTCTATGTGTGGTTATAGGAAGGTGTTGTGGCTCTTGGCTAGCTTTCTTGTATGGATGTGGTGTATGGTTGGGAGGGAGATTAGTGTAGGATTTTTGTTGGGTGGGAGTCTTGGATTTGATGTGTAATTGTGTATGGTAAGGTATTTTTAATGTACTGAGGTATTATTTTTTTTTGGTTAGGTTGTAAAATGCAATCATGGTAGTAAGGTACAGCCATGAGTTAACAGTTGTGGACTAAGGTTAAGACACAGTTGTAAGGTAGGGTTGTGCAAATGGCTATTAGGTACGGTTGTAATACGCAGCTGTGTAGCATGGTTGAGATATAATTTTAAATCAGTATAGTAAAAGTTAAGACAATGGATTAAAGTTGTAAGTTAAGATTATGAGCTTATAATACTTGCATGACAGACCTGTAATGCAAGGTTATGAGGCAGAACTATGAGATAAGACTTAGAATAGTTTAGGTAGGGATTCTGAGTTAGAACTGAAGCAAGGACTGAGACACAGTTGAAAAGCAGGTTTACGAAACAAAAGTGTAAACGTGAGGCAAGATTGTGAGGTAAAGATGTAATGTACAGTATTGTTATGAGTAGGAGTTATGAGAGTATGAAGTTAGGTTATAAAGTAGGGTTTTGAGCAAAGGGTTGTGTGGATGGGGCTCTTTAGATAAAGGTGTGGGGGGGTAAGTCAGTTTCAGATAACACATTGTAAAATAGGTTCCAGGGTAAGGGGTGACAGTCAACCTAAGGAGGAATGATTTGAGGCAATATTGGGACCAGGATGTGTGTGTGGGTGTTGTTTTTGTCATCCCTGGAAGAAGCATCAGTACTCTTCAGTTCCATCTTGATAGCGTTATTATTATCACCTACTCTTATCTCCATTACTGACAACATATTTACCAGTAGTGTCCATCGTCGAGGAATTATTATCTCTCGTGGGGTGCAGTGGGGGGGATGACTGAAGTGGAGAGATGATAAAGGGAGGGGACCTAAGGTAAGAAGAGGAAGGGACTAGGATTACAAATGAGGAGTAGAGGAAGAGAAGGTAGGTGTGGAGGAGGAGGATTACAAACAAGGAGTCGAGGAAAAAGAGGTGGGTGTGGAGTAAGAGGAGGAGGATTATAAATAAGAAGGTGAGGAAATGGGTATGGAGACAAAGGAGGAAGATGGAGAAGCAGGGAAGTTAGAAGAAGAGGAATGTGTGGTATTCCATGGCTGTTCTTTAACCAGCATGACTGTGATTGATAGAATAATATCTCGACTCCTGCTAATGGGGGCATGTGAGTGAGTTGGTCAGTGTCATCTGCATCTATGTTCGTACTTGACATTTGCACTGTACTAACAAAGACCATCGATCTCTTAATTTAATTTACTGGCCTCCAGCTTGAGACCAACGACAACCCCTAGAACAGTGATACACTCGAGTAAGAAGAGCAGACTTTGTATAAGATTGTACCTTCCTCGAATTCATTTTGAGATATATTTTCTAAGTCATCAAAATTGTTGGCAAAGTTGCAAAGTTCAGGTAGAAAAAAAAAAAAGATGCATTTATTAACAGAATTTATGAATGTTTCTTTTATATTTTTTCTTGGGAATGTGGTTAAAATATCCCACTTCTTGTAATCTCGCTTATCACTCCTAACATATATTTTCAGTATTATTACCATTTCGATTTGTGTGAGTGAGTGAGTGAGTGTGTGTGTGTGTGTGTGGGAGGGAGAGAGGAAGGAAAAGAGGGGGAAATACCCTAGACAAGTAAAAATCTTCTTACTTGTGTGTTTAATGTTATCTTGCTTATCTAACTTGATTATCCAAGTACCGTACATCTGTCCACTTGACCCACTTCGAGGTACAGTAGTCATTAACACTTGGCCAAGTATAGTATGGAATTCCCACTGAAAACTATTGCTAGGATCCTTGTGGTGACTGGCATATATAAGGGGTACTGGACTATTCATACCCAGCACCATCACATGAATATATCTGTATCGGCCTACCTATTTTCCATCGGTATATTAAGAAGTCATGATTTCCTTAAACACTTTAATTTTTTGTTGTTGTTGATGTCTGTATCCGACGATTAGCTGATAAAATTTCAAGAATAACCAATACCAAATCCAAAGCAAGATTCGATTTCATTCTAATTAGATTTTGAATTTTATATGATGAATGGTGATTTTATATACTGTAAATTATGTAAAATTGCATTAGCTTGGCTGTTGAGAGCTATACTAGTTATCAGCATAGTGGTGATCACTGGTACTGTTGTCTTTTACTGTTTCATGGATTGTGAGTGAATTTGTCTAATTTTGTCATAAGATTTGCTCCACTAATCTATGTTGTGATGCGTTGACGGCACTATGTTCATTCAGGTTTTGAATGATGGTCCCTCAAAATTTTTCAGATTTTACAGAGAGGTGATGCAAGTCTGATCAGGCCTATAGTTTTTTTGCCATACTCTTCCAATTCCTTGTAAATTGGACGTTGGCTGAATCCCAGTCCATTGGCACTTCTTGGGCCAGGGAAGAATTTCTAATTATTAGTCTTACTGGACCACTTACCTTGCTCCCCACCTCTTTTATCACCTTGATCTATGCTCCATCCACTCCTGTAGCATTGTATTCTTTTGGGGTGATTAGATGTTTATCTTAATGGCTTCATATGTAATTGCTATCCTTCATAATTCATTTTCAACCCCTAAAGAATCCATTGTCTCGTGTATTCATTAACTCCTTGTGTATGGGGTTGCCTCTGTGCTGATTAAAATTGTCATTAGTCAAATATAGTAATATTAAAAATGGCATCCCCGTGGTGAAGGGTTTAAGGTATCTGTTGTCTGCTTACCTGCTTCCAGATCCAAGTTTTTACTCATTTAAACGACCAATGGTATCTTTCGTCTTGAGATTGTTTCTGATAAATATTTGTAACAATGTAAAGAATGGGCATCCACATTGATACTCTTGCCAAATTTCTTGAGAATCGTTTACAGATGGAAGGGGTTACTATAAGATAAGAAAAACCCTACAAACAAACACCATCAACTGTATTCATTACTGTAGTTGAATTACAGTGAAGATTAACAGTCGATAACTCAGAGGTTTGTTGTTCAAGATATTTTTTTCTCAAGGCTCTTAATGTACTTAGTGATACTGTATGTTCATTTTTATTCCATTTGTCATATCAAGTTTTTGATGCTATTGCGTTTCAATTTATGTTTAAGGTCTGATGATGACACAATATTTATGGAAACATTACCCAATAAATGTTTCTGGTTATCCAAACATCGGTGCTGTTACTCATCCTGCATATATATATACAGTACAGGTATATATAAAGTATGTATATACTGTATATGATAAGAGACTTGGCTACACTAACATGGTAGATAATTAATTTGTTGTAGACATAATGTGTTGTACTTTACCACATGATGTAGGTGGATCTATTAGTGTAAATTTTACGCGAGTGACCTCAGCTGTGTGTGTATGTGATAAAGATAAGATAATTAAACGTTTATCAGTGTTCTCACATCACCTTACAGATTGTGTGGGATTCTTGATAAGTTTGTAGGCAAGTATTGTCTTATGACCTGGCCTCACGTGTGTTAATTAATCATTGATTACATAAATGTTGATTATCTGATATTTATATTTTGTTAAGTTTGTAAATAATTTATTCACAAATATGTACCATATTACCCATCAGCTGACAGTTCACCACCAACCATCAGATGAATGTCCTCTCCATCGCCTATCAGGTGAGGGACCCTCCACCACCTATCAGATGAGGTACCCATCAGAGGAAAGAGCACTCCATTCCAATCAGATGAGGGACCCTCCACCACCCATCAGATGAAGGAACCCTCCAACCCCCCATCAGATGAAGTTCTCATTAGGTGTCCGAGCACCCTTCACCTACTCTCAGCCTCCCCCCACCCCCAAGCGATTACAGAAAGGTCGACGTTATCAGAGTGGGGGGGAGGGGAGGGTATGTGGATTGCGCATGTTTTGGGGTGAGGGCGGTGGTGGCAGGGATGGACAGTTGGGCTTTGAACTGTAAATGATCAAGATGGGAGACAGCGCGTGTCGGCTGCTCCTTGCCCTGGCTTGCGTGGTGGTACTACTGACCGCACGCCTCCACGCCCTCAATACTGACGAATCACAGGCTAGGGAGTTTATGAAGGAACTCGACGTTAGGTAAGAGAGAGGGAGACCAGGATACTTTGAGGTGTGTGTTTTCTTGCATCTGTGTAGGAAGTGTGGTGTTGTTGTTCCGTCAGTGTAATAAGTGTGGCGTTTCTGTGTAGTACTGCAAGTGTAAGAATAGTAAGAGTGGTGTGTGTGTGTGTGTGTGTTTCAGTGTAGTATGTGTGTAGTCTGGTGGTGTTGCTTCTGTGTAGGAGTAGTGTGTGTGTGTTGTTTCAGTATAGTAAGTGTGGAGGGTGTGTGTTGTGAGGGTAATGCTTCAGTTTAGTAAGTGTAGTGTGTGTGTGTTTCAGTGTTCGTAGTAAGTGTGGTGTGGGTAAGTTGCTTCAGTATAGTATGTGTGGTGTAGGAGTGTTCCTTCAGTGTAGTAAGTGTGGTGTGAGTTTCAGACGTTAATGTGAGGTTAGGGGGGGGGTTAGTGAAGGGGTGAGGTAGAGGGGAGGACGAGTTAGTGAAGTGGGGGGAGGACGAGTTAGTGAAGGGGTGAAGTGGAGGGAGGACGAGTTAGTTGAGGGGTTGAAGTGGAGGGAGGACGAGTTAGTGAAGGGGTTAAGTGGGGAGAGGACGAGTTAGTGAAGGGGTTAAGTGGGGGGAGGACGAGTTAGTGAAGGGGTTAAGTGGGGAGAGGACGAGTTAGTGAAGGGGTGAAGTGGGTGGAAAGTTATCAAAGAGGTGAGGTTGGAAGAGGTAGGTCGAGTAAGGAACAAATATGGGAATCGAGAGTTTAGTTTAACATCGGTCGACATGTTACAAGGTTGAGCACATACGTCGGTGATCTACAAACACAGTCACTTGTTTACTCTATCATTGTTCATCTCGCTCAGGCATCAGATGGCTGTATGATTGTAGTTATCATTAATAGTTTACTTTAGTAGTCAACTATATAATCATGTCAGATATATGGCATTAATCACTGCTGTGTGTGTGTGTGTGTGTGTATACAGTATATACAGTATGTATGTATGATATCAAGAAATATCTAAATCATCACTGTTTGGTCTATACACATCAATGGTTATCATCCTATCATCCTTTTATATACTTAGAGCCCCCAAAGGGTCACTGGAGCATTTATCTTACATGTCATTGATATTAGAAGTAGCTCTCTTTATTAAACCAGAGCTGGAAAATAAGAATATGTGTCTTGGGTACACATCTACAGGTACACATGCCCTGCCTTCATAGGAGTATCATATGAGAGATGTTGTCTATGCAGATCCTCAAATACCAGCTTCTGGGGTGCTGCTCACACCTGGAAAACTCAAGATGTATCCATAAGGGCAGGTGTCATAGGTGAACTCAACCCAGGTAAAAAATACTCCTGATCTTTCCCTGGTCTTCACACACAGACCCAGCTGATCTATCTATGCTTACATAATGACAGTAGGATGCCTGAGTAATCCTCCAGCTTCTAAAAATGTTTTACTGTACATACTGACAGACTCCTTATAATGGTTACTGCTGGCAGAATCAACAACGTTATCAGTTAATTATACAGAAGACCGATGAGTGAGTAATGTAAGAAAAAGTAAATGAAAAAAAACAGTGGCGCAAATGGTTATCTTAACTCTCATGCACTTAACACACAACCCAGGGCTTGGACCTTCGGTGCATTATATCCTCTGTTTTTCTACACAGTACTGTAGTTAGGATGAGAATGTCTCTAGTTCAATACAGTCTCGCTATGTTATTGGTGTCATTTTGATGTCATATCAGATCCACAATTTATACAAACTAATTAGAAGCATTTTTAGATGCTGGGGCACCCCTAGTCCACTCTGGTGTAAATAACATTGCGGTATATTTTCCTTTACCACGGCCTCGAGGATTTCTTGGAATTTCTAACCCGGCTGTTTTTGTATCAAATTTTTTATTTGTCATCATCCCTATTTAGTCTCTGCATTTTTTTCTCTCTTGCACTGATAGTCTTCCTGGATGAACTCATATTGATCTACCTTAAATACCAGTATCTTTATCCAGACTTTAAAGAGAATGTATGACGTCCTAGTGTGTAGTAGTCGCTGGCAGGTGCCAAGTTTTACCCTGACCTGGTCCTCATCTACCATTACCTCTTCAGTTGTCAATATCTAACCTTAACTGTTCCCTCCCTTCATCGTTTCCTTCATGTATGTGTGGGAGATGAGTCTTGTGTTTGGAATAGTTTGCCTTTGGCCTTTAAAATTTATGGATAACCTGAATAATCTCCACCACATCTTATCTCCCCTAAATATTAACCTTCGTAAAACTATTTGCAGGGATGAGGTTAGATGAGTTTGCTTTGGGGTGGTTAATCATTAGATGAAATAATATATACTGGTGTGTGTGTGTATATATATATATATATATAATATATATATATATATATATATATATATATATATATATATATATATATATATATATATATATATATATATATATATATATATATATATATATATATATATATATATATATATATATTATCTACAATACTCGTACATCAGTGCACACATTTAAATAAGAATAAAAATTAGTTACTCTTATCAACACTGTGCTAACATGTGATAAGGAAACAGAGCATGTAATAACTTGCACCTTTTTTACCAGATACAACCATGAGTGTAATCAAGAGATGTCAGCTCGTTGGGACTACATCACCGACGTCACCGACCCAGACAAGGAGAACGCTGCCGTAAGTACCCGGGATCATATCTGGGAACGGATCCTTAAGATACTGTATCTTGCCCTGTATATTTATGGTAGTTATGATAGAGAGTATTTATAGCTTGGACTCATTTCATGATGGTTATAGTACTGTATGTATGTATGTACACACTCCAAAAAGTATCTTAACGGAAGTGGCTGATTACCTGTATTTTCAAAATGAACGCCATGACTCTTGTTGTCTTGGTAGGGTGGTCAAGATCCTCCTTCGTCTGTTGCATCATACTTTCTTCCATAAATTCATAAAGATACTTTTTGAAGCAAGTGTTTACAGGAGTGGTGGAAAGCATAATATCTGATTTGATGTCTGCTGAGCCACAAAAGAAAGTCGTACAGTAATGAACTTCTGGAGCTTGAAAATAAAACTATACATTCTGCTTTATTACTACTTGTATATATCTTGCTTTTCACTGTAGCTTTGTTAGCTTTTCTTAACAAATGTTGAAACCTGAGAAGAAAGTTTCCAACCACCTGGGCGTATCAACCTCAATACTGAAGGAAAAAATACCATTGTTCTAAACACACATCATAAATCAACTAGTGTGAAAGTATTGAAAACTGAAAATAAAATAATGATTAAGATGATGAAATATATCTACAGTACCAAACAGAATGAGACATGTGAAGTACAGTATGAATAAATTTTGCTCAATGTACAGTCAACTACTAAAGTACATTAGTCTCTCCCTTTGAACTATGAACCCCCAAGAGATTCAGACTTAAGAATTCATACCATTCATAGACAATAATGTATCAGTCTACTGCTTCGGGTTCACGAGTCTGAATCTCAGGGTTCGTGGTTCAGGAGGAAAGGCAAATGGACTTTAGTAAGTGACTTTACTGTACATAGAAAGGGCACTTACCACCTCTCCCTGCTGTTGTGATGGGACTAGTTGTAATGTCAACATCACTCTCCTCTCCTGGCAGGTTATATGTTGTAGATAAGTGGGTCAATATTTCTTCATCATTAACTTTTGCTGCTGCACTAGTGAATGTGATACTGTTGATGTCTCTGTATTAGTGATGCATTTGTTGTTGTTGTTTTAATTATTATCATTTATTATTATTATTATTATTATTATTATATTATATTATTGTTATTATTATTATTTATCTTAATTGGTTGATATCATGTATATCTGATAAATCTGTTTCTCATTTAGAGTTGTGTGGATATTTGCTTCACTTATCCACCCCCTTTGAAAATCATTATCACACCTAGAGAGACTGACAGACATTTTATTATAGATAGATAGATAGGTAAAGGAAGCACCTGTCTGGTTCTCATCTGACTGGCTAACTAGTTATGAGCTAATATGAAGAAGTTCAAACAAGTGTAATCAAAAACTGGCAAGTGTCTTATTTTTCTCAAGAGATATGATAAACTAACCACCGTTCATTACAGTATACACAGTGAAACCTTTATTTAATGGACTATATATGGAGATGCATGTGCGTTATATCGAGGGCCTGTTAAGTGTGAAACCTCCATCTAATGAACTGTATAGATGTGAAAGTCCATTATATCGAAGGTCCGTTAGATTCAAAACCCCCATCTAACATAATCCACAGAGAGAAGAGTCCATCATATGGAAGTTTCACAGTACATCAATGCTTTTTTTTATTTCTTTTATGTAGTACGGTATTTGCCTCAAGGGTTAAGTTCATATTAACATGCTCACTAAGTCATTGTTGGAGAGAGATTCCAAGTCACAGGAAGATACAAGTGTGAGTTGTATCCTTACCTGTGGGCACAAAAACACCTGTAATTAAGGTAATCATTCGCTGATGTTGGGAGAGGTTGTTGTTACCTGTTGTATCTGTGCTGTAGAGGTCATATTATTATCTGTCCTGTCTCTGCTATGCCATTCAGTGAGGCAGGTTGACGACTCCTCACACCTCCTCCAGTCAGAGAAAATAAGACAAATTTCCCCCGTCCAGCGCCAGATATGATACGTATAATTATTTTGACTGATTCCGTGAGATAATTAGATATAATCTGTTTTCCTCCGCCTTCTGGTGTGACTCTAATGGAGTTATGTAGGTATAAATCAACTCTCTATCATCCTTGTCCTGTGTTATCTATCATTACCAAAGTACTAAGTTCATTAAGATAATCTGCTGAAAATAGAAGAAAAATCCTCTTAAATGTCTGGAAGTTACATCGACAACCAGGGAGAAATACTTGTTTTTTTTTAATGTTCCTTACCAACATGAAATCAATTAAGTGTTCTTTACCTAATGATAAGGAGAACTGATACACACACACACACACACACTTTTTTTTTAACATCAATTAAAAAAAATAACTCGATCGCATATTTAGGTTTCTCTCTGTTATTGATCTCTGGTGAATTTTTATTATATTTCACCAGTTTAGTTTTAGATGGCTGAGTTTAATGTTGGTATTATATGTTACTTCTATGACCTAAGTTGTTCCATTGCCAGGGATGTTAATGTCACAATCAATCACCAAATCATCTGTTACTGAAGGTGTTTTCAGGTTTAGTTTGGGAATCTTTTTGGGGCAAATATTCTGTGATATTTTATACTGACTCTAAAATGAATTCAGTAGTTTGGACATTCTGATGTGTCTTGTTTCAGTAATTTGGAGATTCTGTTGTGTCTCGTTTCAGTTGTTTGATATCTCGGATTGTCTCTTTTCAGTAGTTCGTAGATTATGGTGTGTCTTGTTTCAGTAGTTCGTAGATTCTGTTGTGTCTCGTTTCAGTGGTTCGAAGTCTCTGTGTGCAAGCGGACTGGATTACTTATTCTTTTGAACAAATCAGTACCGGCAGAAGGTAAGGACGAAACATTCCCAGCGTGTGAATTTGCAAGTGTTGATAAATAAGTGTAAGTGGGGGAAGAATATATTGGTACCCCTGAGACCTGTTGACCATAATAACTTTAGTAATTGTCAGCACCATTATTTTATCGTTCCTCTGCCCTGTTGCTTTCTTATTTGTTATTTTATTTGTTTTACATAGTTATATCTGTACCATATATGTCAGGTAATACATTTATTGATTTTCTGGTAGCTACAACTGTATTTATTTGAACATAGATCCTTTGTCACTACGGGAGGATTTATGACTATCCTGGAAGGGAAAAGTAAAGACATCTTACTCTTTTTTTTTCCAGGATACTGTATTAAGTCAAGTCTATACTGTACTGTAGTTGATATAGAAGTTGTCAGTAGTAGTAGTTGTAGTACTGTAGTAGTAGTAGTGGTAACAGTACTGGTAATAATAATAGTAGTCTGAAGGGTAGTAGTGGTAATTGTTGGCTAGGTTAGTTTAGGTTAGCATCAGTGTTATGTTAGCATTGGCATTAGGTTAGTGTTAACATTAGGTTGTTAGGTTATGTGAACATTAGGTAAGGTTAAGTGGTTAGGATAGCATAGCATGAGGAGAAGGTGTCAATACTTTCGAGTTAGCCCGACTACATACCAAGGTAGACAAGCGTCAACGCCGGAAAGATGCTGCCGCCGCCCCTTCTGCTGTGATGTAGCCCCCCACACGTGCAACATCTATGAACAACCTTGCCGGTCCTGTATCGGCTTCTCTTGTCACCTCAGAGCTTACCGATGAAGGTGACATCCTTAATAACTCATATAATTTTATCAGGACAGCGGTGTTTAATCACCAGGTGAAATATTCTTGGGTCCCTAAGCTTCAGGTAATCTATTATTTGTTCTTGACAGAGGTATTATGATTATATAACTCAATCTGATATATTATATGGTCACAGTTCGTTATAATCTTACGAAGACCACCTTGTTTTTAAGACGTTGATAGCTGGCGACTGCAGTTTGTTTGTCTTTGAGTTACCAATTCTCCTTTTGTCAGTCTGAGGAATATGACACTTGTATTTGATAAATTTCAAAATGTAAGATCACAAATTTTTGCAGTTGAGTAAGATGAACTTGTATTATCATAAGAACTTAGTCGTCTTAACAGTTTATGTAGTCGTGTGTGTGTGTGTGTGTGTGTTTGTAGTGGTGGTGAGAGGTGCCGCAGTAGTAACTCACAAAGGTACGGAAAACAACAACAGATAAAGGCCAGCCACTTAAGGTTCCTATCACGAATCACCTTTGAATCACAGCAAGACTTCTTCTGTAATTAATGAGGGCAAGACAAGACTCCTTGGAAGAGTCTGAGAATTAGATCACATATTGCTCATGAATCGTGAATTATCCGCATTGAGCAACCGTAGAGAGAGACAGAGAGAGTGACAGAGATTATGTGCCTGTTCCGAGCATATATGTTGCTATCTCCTGGGGCAAGAACGAATAGTAAACAACAAGACGAGTTTTATAAACCCTTTGCTTCAAGACTATCTTGACAGGCCGTAAGGTATACACAGCAAAACACAGTCTTCAATAATTAGTTTCGTTGTTAAGAAAAACTAAATAAATATACCACAGCTTATTTTTATACTTATTCATAGCAAGTAATGATGCAAATGGATCAGTCAGATACAGCACGGAGTCTCTACCGAGGCAATGATATAGTTTCCTGTACACAAGCAAGGTGAGACAAGAGTTGTGAAGTGTTTTAGTGAGATGCGCTTTCAGGTTATGGTGACAAGGACAGGGATGGTGTGAGAAGAGACGTGGCTATCTCCTGAGAAGACTGATATGGCCACAAGACACGACTATATCAGAGACAAGGGGGGAGCTCCCTCTTTACTGTACACAAGTCCTTATGCTCTCAGCAGTAAATGAGTAACACTGTTGGGTCTGTTTGCCATTGGTAGAGCAATTTTTCGGTGGGACACACACACACACACACACACACACACACACACACACACACACACACAGTACGCAAGAACAATTAGTACTGAGACACATGTAGAATTATTTGCTCCAATCTAGGTCATCAAGCTAAACCTGCAGCTCGTTGATGAATCGCCACTAACCACCGACTCAGGAATTCTCAACATTTAACATGACGATATTTCTCACTCTCCTGTTGAGAACATACAAACCGTCTCTTAATGTTTTCAGCTCAATTTAATATCATAAGTCCTGAAAATGATAAAGAGTTTATTAGGAGTAGTCTTGGAGTGACAGTATCTAGGTACTGTATCCTTATCTGTATCATGTGTCATAGTCACATTGGTATACTGTAGCTCTGAAGGTCATTATGATATTCTCTATTTTTAGTGCTGTTGCTGGTACTGTACTGCATATATCCCTAAGTACCGTATATTTTATTTAGAAGGGAGGTGAGAGAGTTGCTACTGTTTTAACAAAGGTCAAGAATTTATATAAGCAACTGCAAAGTAAATTTCTATGGGGATGACACCATGAGGCAATATATTACAATTACAAAATTATAAATAAAAGGAATTACTTCATTATTAACCTTTATATAATATACACACGCATCCTATGTGAGAATAAACATGAACACGTCTTATGTAAATATAACAGTAATTGTCTTATGATTTGTGGATACAGTATTATCCAATTAGTGTCTCGGAATTCGGTCAAATTAGGTACGAATAGTCAATAACAAATAGATACTCCCCACCCCCCTGCCTCCTTCACCCCTCAAATTTTTATTTTTGTGGAAGTTTATATTTTTGGGTCAACTATGAAAAGTAATTACACCTTTCATTATTTTTTTATATTATTTTTTTGTCATAATAAACATGAAATCAACATTAGACATAAAATTTAGGGATAATGTATTACTCGAAACAGCATTCTACAGTACCTATGGAGGCCCTAGAGCAGTGGTTCTTAACCTTTTTTGAGTCACGGACCCCTTTGGGAATCTGGTGAAAGCTAAGGACCCCCTCCCTAGAAAAATGCACATAAGCACGTAAACACAACTTTGCATGCAATGAATATACTTTATTTTAATGAAAATTCATTGCCTCATACAGTGTCTGACATACACAAAGTATGAATAAAGTAAACAATCTTAAAGAATTATGTTCCACACTTTTTTATGCAAAAATTAATGGCCACTCCATACAAAAATGAAATACAATCATCTTGTGTAAATTAAACAAAACAAAACTTTAATTCTGCTCAAAAGTTCATTTCAATGAGAAGGTTGTTGTTGTTTGGCTTGAAGATAAATGTTAAATTTTTATCTGACCTTCACGGACCCCCTGAAGCCCATCCATGTCCATGGACCCTAGGTTAAGAACCCCTGCCCTAGAGGGTGAGAATAATCCAGTGATAACTCATGAATCATAGCAATGGTGAAACATGATTATATGTTAATAATATAAGTATTGCCTCATTATATTGTATATCATTGTGTGTTTCATTGCGTTGTGTAAAAAGATAACAAAATTTGACTACCGTTTTTAATTATGGAGACAAAATTTGTATACAAAGATGCAATATTTACTAGATTCTTTTGACATAGTTATGGAGTGCTGGCTGATACCAATGTAGCCATTATACTACTGCTATAACTATTACTACTACTACTATAACTTTTATCATCACTATTATTATAAGTGTCTTAATTATATCAGGGAAGGAGGGTAGGAAGGTAGAGCAGTGTGGAGGAGGCAGGGCAGGGGAGGGTGGAGGCAGGGCAGGGGATGGGGGATGGTGGTGATGGTGAAGGATTGGTGTTGTGGACGTTTTAACCTATCAGATTGTTGATAATGAGAATGATAGTGGCTGATGCCGAAATATACTGATTACATTGCACCACTGCACTTAGAGGACCACTTATAATATGGCATATCATGACCACTGACGATTATAACAATCACCGCCCCCCCCAAAAAAATAAACCAATTACGAACAGTGAATTGAAATGAATATGACCACACTATATATTGAAAGGTGTTGCATGTGTTGATGACTTAGATTAGCTAATTGCATATTGCATTGTCTTAAACATTAGTTTTGATCTGACTATAAATAACAATATACACTTTCCCTTTACCACATGCAAATGTAAATTCCTCACTGATGATACGTTGGGTATAGAATTATATAAGGGACAGTTTAGGCCATTTAGCTCAAGCGGCTAACGAGCCGGTCAGTGGTGAAGAGGATAAAAGTAAAAGTAAAACGAAATTGTAAAGGCTGGACTGTACTAACAAGACCGAATGATTGTTAGTGGAGATAGTCTACTAACCCCCTTGTGTATAGGGCTCCGGTCTACTAGCCCCCCTCTGAGCTGAATGAAATACTGTAGTCTTACGTTAAAAAAAAACAAGTGGCATCCTCATAGTATAGCGGGTAGTGATTGGCGCCATATAACAACTCAGTGCTTATCATCTTGGGTAGTTAGAGGAAATAGTCTGATTTATAATAAGTTTAATTTATCCTGTATATATATATACTGTATATTTAAAGCTGAACATTAAATCTAAAAAAAAAATGTTTCGAATGGTTTTACTATTATAGTTTGCTTCTTTTCATTTCAATATTTTTTTTTTCATTTTCAGAGATAAGAATAATAATTTTCTTTAAGTTGTGTTCAAGTATATACATCGTCTGGCCTAATAGCAGAGGAAAATAACGTGTTACTTAATTTAAAATGCAGTAATTTAATAACACAGAAAAGAAGAAACTACTAACTATTATTCTTTCTATGTTCTTTCTCTTCTGTTTATTTTGCTTACAGTAAAACCTCTATAAACATGAAAATTCGTTATATCAAGGGTCCTTTATAAAATTTATGTAATCCCCATCAAATGGATTATAAGTGGAGGTGGAGAGAGAAATCTGTTATTTATGGAGGTTTCACTGCATTATCCTTTCTCTTATTATTACTTAAGAAATATTAAATAGAAGAACGATACTCTGGGGTATGCAAACTAAGAGGTGTCATTGATACAGAACGCAGCATGTGACAGCTATACGAGGTTTAAGAGGGAAGCGGCCGTTGAAGCCTCACAGTACCAGTATGATGGGTTCAGCGACTTACAGCTCTATCGTCGCTTCAAGTTGCTCGCTAATAAGGGAGCTGGAGCCCTCGACACCCATGACTTGATGGAGGTAAGGTGGCTGTTTCTGAGATGGAGGGGGGGTTGTTATCCTCTTGAGATCTCCCTTAAAGATGTCACCATCCACTTGGAAACCCCCTTGAAGATGTCACCATCCACTTGGAAACCCCCTTGAAGATGTCACCATCCACTTGGGATCCCCCTTAAAGATGTCACCATCCACTTGGAATCCTTCTAAAAGATGTAACCATTGTGTTTGTATTTATAAGTTTATGCAAAATGCATTTAGTTATTCCTCAATTGTAATAAAAAAATATGAAAATAGAAATTGGAATTGAGGAAATAATACAGGTACTGTTTGAATTATATTTAATTTTATTAGAAAAAATTAAGGCTAAAGTAATAGTGAAAATAATGGAAGTGGATTTAGTTTTCTTTTTAACTAGCCAACAGTAAAGTTGTGAACAGTATTCTTAAAAATTTTCACTACATTTTTATATTGTTCCTCTCTAGTATGAAGCTCTACAAGCATATATGGAGAGGACCTACAGGACCGCCACTGCCTGTCACTTCCATGACCCCAACCAATGTGACCTGACCATCGACCCTGGTAAGTGAGAAGACTGGTCAATGAGGGGAAAAAAAATCCCTATTCTAACATTTTTTTTTGTCACTGATACTTAGGCTTCAAGATGTGTATTATGTCATGATGTCTTCTAAAACTCTTTCATTGTTTATATTATGAAGTTCAATAGCATTTACATTACATTCTGTTCTTCATATAATGATGCTTATTTGTCACTTATTTCTCTAATCTAAAGTGTTGTGGTAGATGAGTGGATTAATAAGCACTTGATTCCTGTCCCTAAGTGTTCCTAGTTCCTATATTCCTCAAGGGGGGAGGGAGGGCAGGTACAGGGGACTGACTCTAATATAAAAAAAACCTTATTTCCAAACACTCCACACACAATACGAACCTCCCAGAGTCTTCAGCTCGCCTCCCCCCATCCCCCCTCCAAAAAAAAAAATATTCCAATCATCTGAAAATAAAGTCCTATCTGTCTTGGATATTCAATAGTTATTATAACCCCCAAATACAATGAAACCTCCATATAACGGCCTTCTCTCTCAATATAACCCATTAGATGGAGGTTTCACATCTAATGGGCCCTTGATGTAACAGACTTTCATATCTATATAGCTCTTTAGATGGAGGTTTCAGTATAAACTCTTCTTCTCTCTTCTCGGCAGACATTGAGGCTATCATGGCTCACTCACAAGACTGGGAGGAGCTTCGCTACGCCTGGGAACAGTGGAGGGAGAACACAGGCCAAGTGGTGAAAGAAGATTTCAAGAGGTTTGTCGAGCTCTCCAACAAGGCTGCTAAGCTTAATGGTCAGTGTGATATAACTTGGATAATATTTATTTACGTATATAAAGAATTGTTACAGAGAAGACCCGGGATTATGTGAATTCAGAACCTTATTGAATATCCTGGAGTGCAAGTGGTAGTAGAGTACACAAGTCGTAGTTAAGTGTACAATTGGTAACAAAGAGTACAAGTGGTAGTGGAATGTACACGTGGAAGTAAAGTGTTAAGTAATAGAGCATAGAAGTAAGAAACTGTACATGTGTTAATAAAGTGCACAGATAAGAAACTGTTCATACATACAGGCTGAATAAAATTGTCTGTCGTCAACCAAATAAAACATTAAAAGTGGCGTCCCTGTAGTAGAGGTGTTAAGATTGCATGGTGAGTGTGTCTGTTTCATTCCCAGGTTACGACAACACTGGATCATCCTGGCTGGAGCGGTACAGTGTGGATGAGAGGGAGGTGAAGGTGTACACTGATGCCTATTCCCTCGACCAGCGGCAATTCAAGGAGATGGTTGACTCCAGGTGGCAAGAGGTACTGTACATATGCTGCACTGTTCTACTAGTGGAGGAGAGGAGAGTTTGGTTAATAGGGGAGACAGAATATGTGGAGATGGCGGTGGAGTGTGGAGAAGGCGGTGGAGTGTGGAGATGGCGGTGGAGTGTGGAGATGGCGGTGGAGTGTGGAGATGGCGGTGAAGTGTGGAGATGGTGGTGGTGATGTTGGTAAAAGTGTGTGATATTAGTTGGTTGGGAAATATTGATTAAGAGTTAAGAGGTAAATGGAGAAATTTTGGTGTGGGGAGCCAGGGGAGGTTATATTCGGGTTGGATATTGTAGGTCAAATGGATTATGTATTGCCATGGAGGAAGAAGATTAAGGCTATGGAGATGATGGTTGAGATATGGAGGGGCTGTATTGAAATTAAGAATACCCGGTAACCATTGATGCTATAGTTATGGTACCTTGGCGATAGCATCATTTAATTAAGGTAGAACTTGCTTTGATTGACTCTTCCCTTTTCAACAGGTCTCCAACTTAGTCTACAAGAAGCTCCATGCCTACGTCAGGATGCGTCTACAGAAAGTGTACCCTGGAAAAATCGACCTGACAGGACCAATCCCTGCACATATCCTAGGTTGGTGCCACCTACTATGGTCCTCACATAACACTAGCACAGAGACTACTGGCTTCTACTCACTGTTGTGCCACTTTATATATATATATATTTACATTTTCTCTCTATATTAATTTTGTCTATGGGAAGAAAGGTCAGGTCTTTTCTATGACTATATTGGGTCACGTTCATGTTGTGAAACGTTTATAAAGGGAATATAATTAATTAGTGTGGCTCATAATTATATTGGATTTCTTGTAATCTTGCAAACTCTCGATCTACTACTAAAACTTTTTTTTGTGGCCTACAGCTTCCCCCAATAACCACACCTTCACCACCATTTCTTTACCTTTATATTACATATCCTAATACAATAATAGCTACCCTAGCCGAGTTAGTTAAGCCGCAACTCCAACTACTATTACCACTGCAGTACTGCTACTAGTATTACTATTATTACCTAACAGGCAACATGTGGGCTCAGGACTGGTCGAATATCGCTCACCATGTCATGCCCTTCCCAGAGATGCCGAGCTATGACGTCACAGACAGTATGGTGCAGAATGTAAGTAGTTCCTGCTGTTTAGTTATTCACTGCATTCTTAGAACCTTTCACTGTTGTTAGATTAGAACTTTTAAGTGGCTCTGTTTTAACTAAGGGTGTATGATCCAAGAATGAGGTCAGTTGTGTAACGTGACCTAACCTAACCCAGGTAACATTATGATGTTTAAGTATTAGTTAAAATAAGCTTGGAAGGTTAATCTTCAGGCAATTGACTCAGATAAGGTGCTATTGGGTTCTAAACATATTATGAATGTTTTATTATTAAAAATCGAAAGTTTGGGTGAATGTAACTTCATGTATGGTTAAGGATCTGTTGATTGTGATTCTTGAGGCTGATATCTTTTGCATAATATGCAAGAGATTAGATTCAGTTGTTTGAGTGAGTTAGAACATTTGAGCAGGTTAAATAGGACAATTGCTTCACTTAAGAACATTTAATCAGGTTAATTATTTCAGGTTGGAGTGTTTCAGCAACCAAACTGTTTCAATCATAAAAAAAAGTTATAATGGATAATTCCCTATAATAAAACTCACTCTCTACTTCATAAAAACATTAACAATAACACCTACCTTCCACTCTGTCCCCTTTCAGCACTGGGATATAGAAAAGATGTTTGAGACAGCTGAGGACTTCTTCACAGGTCTTGGTCTGTATGGAATGACTAAGACCTTCTGGCAGGAGAGTGTTGTCAACAAGACTGCCTGGGACAAGTCCATGTTATGTCAACCTACAGCTGAAGACTTCTGTTTGGGACCAGAGGGTGATGATTACAGGTACAGAAGGAGGGTAACTACAGGTACAGAATAGGGATGATAATTTGTGTGTCTGTGTGAGGGTGAGAGATGAGGGTCATGTGTGTTTCTTGTCAGGTGTGAGGTTCAGCACATTGTCACTACACTCTCTCCTTCACCCTCAGGATCAAGATGTGTACTAAGGTTAACATGGACGACCTTATCACCATACATCAAGAGATGGGTCAGATCGAGTACTTCATGGCTTATAAGAATCAGCCACATGTCTTCAGGGAGTCAGCCATACCTGGTAAGTGTTTGTCCTGAAATAAGGGATTCATTTTGTATATTTCAGATGGGTATTTATATTCAGTTGAAGTGGGAAAGAAACACGAGTTAAAACATTAAAGTGGCATCTTTTTTTTTTATTTTTTTTTATTTGAAGTGCATGTACAGTCAAGAAAAAAAGTCCTGTCGCCTCTTTTGCTGCTACACGAACCCCAAGATTTTGACTTGTGAAGGAATAGACACTGATGCATTATTCTGTTCATAAATGCTTCGGATTCACGAGTCCAAATCTCCTTGGGGTTCGTGGAGCAGCAGAAGAGGGGGACTGGACTTTTGTTTGCAACTGTATGTATTGTTTCATTATATTTAGTGGTACATTCTTGTGTACAGCAATTTTAGGGCATTTCTGTACCTGTTCTGGTAGCCAACTCCTGCTAGATGCACCCTGATGAGTTAATGTGATAAGGGTGAAAATACTATAAGTATATATTTAAAACAAATTAGGGTCAATATTTAGAATTTCAGCGACTGCAGTTGGTAACTTTCGATAGTAGGGCGCATATATGCCAGTCTCGAATTTATCTTGAGTTAAACACTGGGAAAGAAATTTTAATGGCTGAATTCTTTTTATGGAGTGCTCATCAGCTTTCCTACATATAACATGGACTAATATGCATCTCCTGTTGGATAAAATAACCTTTATCTCATTGATCCTCTGTAATGCTATAATGTGATTTCATTTTGTCAGGTTTCTCTGAGGCCATAGGTGACCTGGTTTCCCTGTCAGTGTCAACTCCTCAACATCTAGAGAAGGTGTTGGGCCTCACTCCTGACCGCCACTCCCCTGCCGTCTCTCGTCAGCTGGGGTACACGGACGTCCAGAAGCGAGATCTTAACTTCCTCATGAAGATGGCACTGAAGAAGGTTAGGATAAAAATTTAACTTTTACATTATCTCTCTCTTCCTCTTTTTCTTCCTCTCTCCTCTTCTCCCCCCTAACCTAACTCACCTACTACAATACATGTTAATGTACCTCACTACTACACCTTAATGCACCTTACCTCCTTGAACCTCTCAAACACACCTCACCTCCATAACCTTCTCAACGCATCTCACCTGCTTCTCCTCACTAAACCACCTCTCCTTCCCCTCCCCAACGCACCTCACTTTAACGCACCAGACCTTCACACTTTCTCTCTGTCTCCAGATCGCTTTCTTCCCCTTTGGGTACCTGGTTGACCTGTACCGCTGGGGAGTGTTCGACCAATCCATCCCCTTGGAGCAGTTGAATGCTGGCTGGTGGGATTTGAGGGAGTCAGTACAGGGTGTGACTCCTCCCGCAGGACAACCCCGTAATGAGGATTTCTTTGACGCAGGATCCAATTATCACGTGGCTGCCAACATGCCCTACATCAGGTATGGTAGAGAGGGTTCCTTGCTACACACTTTCATTAATCGGTAGATCGAGAAGTTTTGATTGAGAAATATCTCTGTATGGGAAAGATTTAGGTATATAAGAATGGTTTATTGATTTTTTTTCCTATGTAGTATGATTTTATGGTTTGTGGTACCATCTGTTTCACTCACTACCGCTGTTACCATCTCTCTTACTCACTATTACTATTACTACCATCTATCACCCACAACAACTATTACTACCATCTATCACCCACAACAACTATTATTACCATCTATCATTCACAACCACTACCATTTCTCTCACCCATTAACACTACCATACCATCTCTCTCACTCACTACCACCACTACTTCTATCTCCCACCCACAACCATTCCTATTTTGTCTCTCGGTGAGGCATTTTTTCCCCACCCTATCCACCACTCTCTTCTCCTCACTACCAACTACTTCCTCCTCCTCCTTCTCCTCCTACAGGCACTTCATCAGTCTCATCCTGCAGTTCCAGTTCCATTCTCATTTGTGTGACACTGCCGGCCACACTGGACCACTCTACACCTGTGATATCTCCAATAACGTCGCCGCTGGTCAAATCCTCAGGTCAGTGGTCTTGGTATTAGATTTGTTATGATCTGTGTTTCTAGTTTTTTGCTCCCATATTAAAGTAGTTTTTGGTGAAGACATTTTCTCCATTTATAGTTCCTAAAGTGGATGTATTGTTTATGTTTAGGCCCTAGGTTAGATGTTTTCCCTATTTTAGGTCTCATGGTAGATATTTTCCCTATTTTAAGTTCTGAAGTCAGATATTTTCTTATTTTTGATGACTCGGGACTAGACTCTAATCCTAATAGTAAGGTTAGGCAAGTTAGATTAGGTTAGGAAAGTTAGATTAAGTTAAGTTAAGTTAGGTTAGCTTGGGATTTAGTAGGACTGAGGTCAATTAAGACTGAGGGTTACAGATAAAAGACATATACATCTGTGGGTCTGTCAACAGATCTGCCATGGAGAAAGGTTCCTCACAGCCCTGGCCCCTAGTGGTGATGGAGCTGAGTGGGTCACTGTACCTGGACTCTCTACCTATCATCAACTATTTCCAGCCTCTGATTGACTACCTGGAGGAGGCGCTGCAGGAGGCCTACCAGTGTGTCGGCTGGGGAGGTGAGTGTCTCCATCCACTTACTGTATGTATGTGTAAGGTTGTATGTATTTGTGTATGTTGTTCCTTAATTTCTGAAGCATTTATCTCTGTTCATATATGAAGGGAAGATATTAGTTTGTTGCAGAAGTTGTAAAGCAATGCTAGGTGGTAAATGCAGGAGTGGAGACAACTGCACATTAAAATTCATTATGATAAATTGATTTTTTTCCCCAGATGACTGTTTACAAGTTGGCCTGTTACAACATTCAGGAGGTTTTGAAGACTCGGGATATCAAGATGCAGATACAACTAATTCAACAGCAAAAACTTCCGTTACTTCCACAGATACTACACCAACAACTACTTCCACAACGACATCTACAACTACTTCCACAACGACATCTACAACTACTTCCACAACGACATCTACAACTACTTCACCAGCAACAACTTCAGATACTTCCACAGATACTACACCAACAACTACTTCCACAACGACATCTACAACTACTTCACCAGCAACAACTTCAGATACTTCCACAGATACTACACCAACAACTACTTCCACAACGACATCTACAACTACTTCACCAGCAAAAAGTTCCGATACTTCCACAGATACTACACCAACAACTACTACCACAACAACATCTACAACTACTTCACCAGCAACAACTTCAGATACTTCCGCAGATACTACACCAACAACTACTACCACAACATCATCTACAACTACTTCACCAACAACAACTTCAGATACTTCCGCAGATACTACACCAAGTACAACAGTATCACCACCAGTGTCTACTATTAGTACAACAGAAACTTCAGAGTCAACAACGGTAACGGCAAATCCCCGGGATGATGAGGAGGAAGCGAGAATCAAAATGGCCGACATGAATGACAAAATGAGTAGGTGTGTTCATGAAGCGACTGTGGCTGACTGGACTTATTACACCAACATCACTGGTTCTCACGCTAATGCCTCGGTGAGTTCCCCCGCCCCCGTTCTCCTCCTGTTAAGGATAAGGAGGAGTCCCTAGTCGTCCCTCTCCTCTTCCCGTTAACACTGAAGGAGCCATCCCTGGTCTTCTCTGCCCTCTTCCTGTCCCTCTGTATGGTGTGACATAAACAACCCATAAGCCGTTATCTAAAATATTTACACAATTAATATTTTTCACAACTAAATGCAATATTCTTGTTTTGTGGTCACTGAAGGAGAATGTAATAATGACGTTTAAATGGGACTAACATATTCACTTATCTTATTTCAAAGTTATTTATGCATGTGTGATATTCATTGATGATTTTTCTTTCTTTTTTCTCTTGTGATTTCCAGAATGCGGCATGGACAACAGTGAGCCAAAAATTTAAAGACTTCCACGAGAGCATCATTTCGTTCTACCACTATGACAGTTTTGGTGATGAAACACTCATACGCCAATTCAAATTACAGGAGAACTTAAAAACAGCGGCTCTTAAGGACACAGATCTACAAGAGGTAAGAATCTTTCACTCCTCTGTGTGGTGATTCTATTCTTTTCTTCTTAACATGATAACATAATGAGAGCGACGCTTAAATATCTTAGTGTAGTCTGTGAAGCGTAGTAATACATTATAACATCAATATTACCATCCTCTGCAGCTGTACAATGCCATCCAGGGTATGAGAGAGACTTATACCAAGAAGATCTGTCACTACGATCATAAAAAATGTGAGACCTCCGGTGAATATGGCCTTACCTTCGACCAATGTGAGTCAATCTCTTTTCTTTCTTTTTTTTACTCTGTCTGTCAGTTAGAAATGTAGGACATTTGGGGCATGGGATGTTTGGACCACAGACATTTAGTTTGGGACGGGATGGCTAGGACCTAATCTAACATAACCTAATCTATCCGTGGCTCAAATGTCCATTCACCGGTAGAGAGTCTCACATTTGTCTGTGCTGAGTAACAAGAACAAGACGATGATGATGCTCACAATATTCTGACAATAAATCAATCTCCGTCCATCCTTTAGAGACAAACAGACCACGCAGAAAATGTAGTACAATGTAAAACTCTCACACCTGATTTTGTCACATGCAACATAACCTTACCCCCCCAAAAATAAAAATAATTTTTTTTCCCAATTATCATTATAAATACAGTATACTTATGAATCAGTTCTTGATATACTAATTATAATATTGACCCTTTATCTTTCATGATCATCATTATCATCGTTAGTATAACTGTTGTCTTTATCGCATGTAACGAGATGGAACTAGTTTTCCTTACATCATGAAATATTAACTTAGATTTGACAATAATTCCCTATACTTGCTGAATAGACAATACAGTAATGAAAGTCTTCTGAAAATTTTAACTTTTTATAATTATGTTTATATTGGAAACTTAAAACAAAACTCTAAACCATTTGCATTACTTTTCAGCATATGTTAGTGAAACCTGTGTATAAACGGATGATATGGAGAAGAAAGTCTTTTATATCATAGTTCTATTGATGTGAAACCTCCATCTAACGATCTATATTGAGATAAAAGTCTATTATATTGAGGGTCTGTTAGATGTGAGACTCCCATCTAACGGATTATATGAAGAGGGAAGTCCGTTATGTGGAGGTTACACTGTATTTATATCTCAGTCTCTGGGAAAATATTGCCCCCCCCCCATAGTTTACTACAGTGTGTGTGTAATGTATTGTATGTGTCACAGTGGAGGATGAGATGTCGACGACAGGAGATTATGAAAAGCTGAAATACTACTGGTTGGAGTGGCGAGAGTCCTCCTGGGAGAATATGAAGGACTACTATGAAACTTACGTCAAGTTAATGAACATTGCTGCCACCAGTGATTCAAACGGTGAGTCTGTGTGTCTGTGGGTGGCTGTATCTGTTGGTGAGTGTGTCTGTGTGTGTCTGTCTGTCTGTCTTTGAAATGGTTTCATGTGGTGTTGCATGTTTTAACTTTTTATTTTTTTATTTTATTTATTTATTTTTTATTTTATCACTTGATAATATATTTGTGAAGCTGATAAAGCAAACTGTTGAGAAAAACCTAAAATCATGTTGATGTTTGTCTGAAATGCATGTCCTTGTTTTCAGAGAGGATCCACAACACCATGTTTTTTTTTTCTTGTTTTTTTTAATATGACTAAACAATTATCAGTGAAAGACTGGTTTAGTGATTATGTGTATATATAAAAAATCTTGAATGATGATGTGTGATGCTCAATTAGAGAGTGTCTTGAGAGAGAGAGAGAGAGAGAGAGAGAGAGAGACTATTATTTATTCTGATTAGTTTTGGAGAATAAATAAATGATCAACATGATTTGTTTACCTCTAGGCTTCAAGAACGCTGAGGATATGTGGATTGATGCTTATACTGAAGGCAACTACACCGCCGACCACTTCAAGCACGACATTGGAGACCTGTGGAGCCAGATTCAACCGCTCTATGAGAAACTGCACGCGTATGTTCTACATAAGCTCAAGGGTGTAAAGTCTTACAAGGGTAAATTCGACGAGAAGGATGTCATACCGGCTCATGTCCTAGGTGAGTTAGTGGGCGTGTCTATGTTAGTGTATGTGCATGCTCGCCTCGCAAGTGAGCAAACCCGGGGTTTGATCCCCGGGCAGGGTGAAACTATGGGCAAGTTTCTTTATGCCATTTACCTCTGTCTACCCAGCAGTAATTGGGAACCTGGATGTTAATCGATTTGTGGATTGTGTTCTGGGATAATAGTTAGTCAGTGCAGTTGGCGAGTTGTCCGGTCTTCTTAGACTAGTCCTTGACACTGGGTCACTCAACTGTTAAGTTAGGGTGTGGTTGTTGTGTTGGCGACAGCTTCTACACTTTAAACAAATTCACGCTTAATTGGCCCTTGGGTCAGCCATCCTCATTTCATGAGAGGCATCTATTATTATTATTATTATATGTGAGAGAAAGAGAGGGAGGGAGAGAGAATGTGTGTGAAAGAGAGGGAGAGAGAAAGGAGGAGAGAGTGTGTGTTTGTATATGTGTAATAATAATAATAATAATAAACGGTTTATTAATAGAGTTGCAGCCGGTGGCTGAAAATATATAGACTTACATTTGATTTAGACATAATGATATAATACATTTACAGGGCTGTACAGTACATAAATCAGGAGTTGTTTATTATTTTAACAATAGATGGGATGGTGCTATTCTTATATCTATCGGTGCGGGCTCTTATGGGCTGAATTTTGTTGTTGTGTGTGTGTATGTGTGTGTGGAAAGAGAGAGAGAGATAGAGAGAATATGTGTGTGTGTACTGTATATATGTGTGTATGTACATTATATGTGTAGCAAGAACATCTCCAATGTATTGCATTACTTATTCAGTGACTCAAAACCATTCCTCCTCCTATCACCCAGGTAGTATGTGGGGTCACAATTGGGTGAACATCTATGACCTAGTGAAGCCTGAGGAAGGAGACGACATCCCAGATATTACTGCAAACCTCACTGACAAAGTAAGTGTGTGTGCTGAAATTAAAACAAAAGAATGATACATTGAAACCTCCATGTAACAGATTATCCTTTCTCTATAGTTTGTGGGGGGTTCACATCTAACAGATCCTTGATATAATAGACTTTTCTCACTCTGTATACCTGTAGTTCGTTAGATTGGGGTTGTCACATCTAAAGGACCCTCGATATAATGGACGTTTCTCTCCATATAATCTATTAAATAGAGGTTTCACTATAATGTATGTAAGTGAGAGGATAGGGTGGGGAGAAGAAGGGAAAGAGAGAGAGGAAGGGAAAAGAGAGGGAAGGAAAGGAGAGAATTAAAGAATGAGGCACAGCTTATAATGGGTGCAAGTGTAGAGTAATATAAAGTATGTGGAAGTGAACCAAATTATAGGAGGCTAAAAACCATATATATATATATATATATATATATTTATATATGGCAGCGAGACTTGGGTCACATATATGAGGCACCTCAAGGCACTTGAAAACTTTCACCAACGTAGTTTACGTTCCATCCTCTGTGTTCGCTGGGAAGACAAGAGGACAAATGCCAGTTTTCTCGCTGACACTAATTGTAGGAGCATCTAGGCTACTATCATTATCCATGAACAACTACACTGGATTGGCCATGTTTCCCGCATGGACAACAGTAAACTGCCAAAGCAATCACTGTACAGTCACCTAACAAATAGTGAACATAACGGTGGCCCGGCAACTGAAAAGGTATAAGGATAGTTTTGAAATAAACCTGAAAAGTGCCAAATTGACCCCCGTCAACTGGGAGATGATTACTCCACACCATAATGCTTGGAGGAGCACCACACAAGAAGGTGTCAATACTTTCGAGTTGGCCCTACTGCATACCAGGGCAGACGAGCGCCAATGCTAGAAAGACGCTGTCGCTGGCCCTCCTGCACTAGATGTAGCTTCCCACACGTGCAACATCTGTGAATAACCCTGCCGGTCTCGTATTGGCCTTTCTAGTCGCCTGAGAGCTCACCAATGAAGGTGGCATCCCTAATAACTCATATCATTGTCTCGTAACTGGGTGATCGTCCTACTCAATTCCGTGTGACAGCAAAGTCGTAGTAATGTGTGTGTAATGTTTATGTATGTGTATGTGTGTGTGTGTAATTTTATGTGCATGCATATGTGTGTGTGTATGAAATGTGTGAGTGTGTGTGTGTGTATTTAATGTGCACATGTGTATGTATAGTATGTTTGTGGACATATTAGTACCATGTCAGGAAGCTTGAGATCAAGAGAAAGAGAGAGAGATACATATACACACAGGATGATTTACCTCAATAATTATAGACATACGCACATACTCACATGTAAACAACTAAATAACAGGTGAACAACACGAGGGACATGCTGTGCCTGGCTGAGAACTACTACCGCAGTTTGGGCATGTACAGTATGACGTCAGACTTCTTGAAGAATAGTCAGATTGGCAGGGTCGACGATCGCACCGTCATATGTCATCCTACCAGCTGGGATTTAGTTAGTGGCTACAACGACACTACAGATGAGGGTCAATTCAGGTTGGTGTTTTGTTTTTGACAGTGATAATAATAATAATAATAATAATAATAATAATAATAATAATAATAATAATAATAATAATAATAATAATAACACTGAGAATCATTTATTTCACACTTCACCAGAATCACTATGTGCTCCAACACGACCCAGGAGGACCTACTGGTAATGCACCACAGGATGGGTCAAACAGAGTATCAGATGTACTACAGCAACGAACCAATGGACACAATGCCCCTCGTGTTCCGGCGAGCTGCCAACCCTGGTAAGCCCTGCCTACTGACACACATACATACACACACATTTATACAGTATAGGGAGAGTTATGTTTGTATGTATAGTTCTTGTAGATACTACACTGTAAATATGTGTATGAATAGTATACGGTATTTTGTATGTATGCTTCAGTTATGTTTCTTCTCTTTCATCATCGTATTTTAACCTAAGGTTTCCAGGAAGCCGTTGGGGGTGCCATTACCCTCTCTGTCAGTACACCCAACCACCTGGAGATGATCGCCGATGTTCTCAACGGGGGGGACCTCAGTGAACTCTGCGATGATGGTGTGGTGTTCGAAAAACCTGACGTTAGTGATGTTGTCAACATCAAGTTCCTCATGAAGACAGCCCTGGAGAAGGTATGGTGGAGTCTTTTGCTGAACTGTCTTTCTTTATGTTAGCTTGTAATGGCCAGCATCTTGTCATCAGTGCCACAGTGAAGAGTTGCAAAAGTTGTCTGTATCTCTGGGATGGTTCTTAGACATATCGTCACCGGTGCTGTATAAACTTAACTTAACCTAATGTATCCTATTCTCACCTAATATTACCTAACCTAACCTATTCTAACCTAACCTATTCTAACCTAACCTAACTTAATCTAACATAATGTAACGTAACCTAAGCTATTCTAACCTAAGTTTACCTAATCTAACCTAGCCTAACCTCTTCTAACCTATCCTAACCTAAGTTTTTTACCTTTTACTTTTAACCTCTTTGCAACTGATGGCTCATTAGCCGCTTGGGCTTGTAGGTCACATCTCTCTAATGCGCTATTGGCAAGTACTGGGCGTGCAATGGCTCTTGAATGTATCTGAACCTGCTCCAGTGTTGGTCAAGTCTGGTCTTGAAAGAGCTCACACTCTGTGCCTTCACAACACACACTGGCAGGTTGTTCCAAGAGTTAACAATTCTCACTCCAAAAAGGTTGGCCTTAACAGTTTTCTGGACTTGTGGCTTCTTCAACCTTGAGTTGTGATCCCTTGTGGGGTGGGCATCTGCTAGCTCCAGGTATGGATACTCAACTAATTAGTGTCCTCTGAAATGTTTATACACCTTAATTAGGTCACTCCATGACCGTCTGTAGTATTAGCTAGGCAGGTGTAGGTACTCCAATCTCTCTGGATAATTGGGGTGCTGAAGTGCAGGCACCAATCTGGTGGCCCCCATTCGGATATCTTCAATCAACTGAGAGTCTTTAGCATATCTTGGGGACCAGACAGGGTGACAGTACAGTACACCAGGTGGAGGAGCACCTCACTATTGAAGATCATTATTAGGGAATGATCATCTAGATATCTGAACGCCCTTCTTATAAGACCTACTGGTTATTTCAGCATCTTCATGGTTTAGATTAATATCGTCTTTTTTTCTTCTATTTTTTTGCCCCCCAGGTCCCGTTGTTGGTCAATGACTTGCGCCCGGTGGGCTATTCCCCATACAAAAAAAGTTGCTTGATTCACCTTCTCACAATGGCCTGAGAACTTCAGTTCATTGTCAACATACACACCCAGGTTCTTTTTGCATTCGGTCTCTTATTAATGCATCTCTTTGTCCCGTTGGGTCATATGATATTCCTCCTTACCTTTGGTACGACACAGGTGCATCCTTGTGCTCTTTTTGTGACATTGAATCTCAGCAGCCATTTCTTCGACCATTCTTGAAGCTCACAGAGTTCTTTCTACAGCTCTTCACAGTCTGTTTGGTTCTTAGTTTTCCAGAACAATTTCTAAATACTATTTAATAAATATAACATGGTATTCAATAGACCAGTGTGTTGAATTGTCCGGTAACGAAATACTGTATCCGCCCAACCACCGGGATATTGTTACCATCGCAAACTGTGTGTCTTTTAACCCTCCTCACATAACGCAACAGATCTTTGTAACAATAAGTTTCTCTCATCTTTCTTCGGTAATCATTTAATAAGTTCCGTTAATTGGAGGTGTTTTACGATTGACTTTTTTTGGGTACAGTATTAATTAATTTTTTTCTCTTTGATTCATCGCATCAGATCCCCTTGCTTTCCTTTGCCTACATAGTAGACCAGTGGCGATGGGAACTGTTTAACAAGAGTGACTCGGAATACAACAAAGAATGGTGGCAAAAGAGGTAAGTGTGGTCTTAAGCTGTTGGTGTGAGTGTGTAGTGAGTGTGTGGTCGTAAGCTGTAGGTGTGAGTGATGGGTCTTAATAATAAATAATAATAATAATAATTGACGGTTTATTGAAAAAGTTCTGCAGCCCGAAAATATACATTGGACATAAATGACTTATTACATACATTGGTGGTTTAACAAAAGCCTTCATTAGAGAAAGGTAAAGGAACATACAGTGAACATACAGATTATTGTAGGTGTTGAACAGCAAAAACGTAGTGTAGTAATTCCCTCACAGATGGTGTTATGAGGGGCCTCACGTGGTGTAGTAAATCCCTCACAGATGGTGTTATGAGGGGCCTCACGTGGTGTAGTAATTCCCTCACAGATGGTGTTATGAGGGGCCTCACGTGGTGTAATTCCCTCACAGATGGTGTTATGAGGGCCTCACGTGGTGGTAATTCCCTCACAGATGGTGTTATGAGGGGCCTCCTGGATGGTGTTAGTCATGTGGTGTAGTAATTCCCTCACAGATGGTGTTATGAGGGGCCTCACGTGGTGTAGTAACTCCTTCACATATGGTGTTATGAGGGGCCTGACGTGGTGTAGTAATTCCCTCACAGATGGTGTTATATGAGTGAGGTGTGGTCCCAGGCCTTCCTATCGTAGACGGATTAACACATCGCTGGTTGTTGGGTCTCACGGGCTGCTATCACTGGGTACCTGGGACCTCACTGTGTGAAGGTCAACCCGGGTACGACTGTTACTGTTGAGTTGTTCTCAATGACTTAAGCACCGTTCACCACTGTTCACCTCTGTTTAACACTGGTTCCATTCCTTTCCTAAATGAAACAGCAACTTCTGGCGAGAACATGTTGATATTCCGGTGGGGAGGAGGGTTCAGGGGAGGGGGCTGGTATGGGCCAACACAACAGTTGACCTGGCTGCTCTGAGAGGAGCGCCAGGCACGTCTCGACCCTTCGGTGGTCTTAAGCTGTAGGAGTGAGTGTGTGGTCTTAAGCTGTAGCTTAAGCTGTAGGTGTGAAGCTGTGTGAGGTGTGAGTGTGTGGTCTTAAGCTGTAGGTGTGAGTGTGTGGTCTTAAGCTGTAGGTGTGAATGTGTGGTCTTAAGCTGTAGGTGTTGAAGCTGTAGGTGTGAGTGTGGTCTTAAGCTGTAGGTGTGAGGTGTGTGATGGGGTCTGTGGTCTTAGCTGTGGGTGTGAGTGTGTGGTCTTAAGCTGTAGGTGTGAGTGTGTGGTCTTAAGCTGTAGGTGTGAGTGATGGGTCTTAAGCTGTAGGAGTGAGTGTGTGGTCTTAAGCTGTAGGTGTGAGTGTGTGGTCTTAAGCTGTAGGTGTGAGTGTGTGGTCTTAAGCTGTAGGTGTGAGTGATGGGTCTTAAGCTGTAGGTGTGAGTGTGTGGTCTTAAGCTGTAGGTGTGAGTGTGTGGTCTTAAGCTGTAGGTGTGAGTCTGTGGTCTTAAGCTGTAGGTGTGAGTGATGGGTCTTAAGCTGTAGGTGTGAGTGTGTGGTCTTAAGCTGTAGGTGTGAGTGTGTGGTCTTAAGCTGTAGGTGTGAGTGTGTGGTCTTAAGCTGTAGGTGTGAGTGATGGGTCTTAAGCTGTAGGTGTGAGTGTGTGGTCTTAAGCTGTAGGTGTGAGTGTGTGGTCTTAAGCTGCAGGTGTGAGTGTGTGGTCTTAAGCTGTAGGTGTGAGTGTGTGGTCTTAAGCTGCAGGTGTGAGTGTGTGGTCTTAAGCTGTAGGTGTGAGTGTGTGGTCTTAAGCTGTAGGTGTGAGTGATGGGTCTTAATCTGTAGGTGTGAGTGATGGTGACTGTAGATAGTACTGTATTCTTATTTGCCATTTTTTTAAATTATATATTCACATTATTAATACTGTAAATTAATTGTTGTTTTGCTCCAGGCTGGATGTACAAGGAGTATTCCCACCAGAAAACCGTTACCCCATCTCCAACTTCGACCCAGGTAACCTGTTCGAGGTAGCCTTCAGTATACCCTACATAAGGTAAGTCTCGCATCCATATTCCGCCTTGTGATAACAGTAATCATCTTGTTTGTTTACATTGTATTGAAGCCATTGTACGGTTGCCTTCACTTATACGTGGTACAAAGAATGTCCGGCACATTTTGTGAGATGTGGCAGCTCTTTGTTTGTTTACATCATATTAAAACTTCCATATTGGCCCTAAGGAATCTCTCAATAGTAGCCAGACTAAGTGATGCTAGATATGTATTCCTGGGACAGAGTTGCCACATTATCTCACAAAACGTGCCAGCCAGTGTATCAGGTATAAATGCAGGCGACTGTACCAGAGCCATGAGCACGACAATGAAAGATGAATTCACTGAACACAAACAGTAATTATAATAAAAACAAATTACATTATAATATCATAAAATTAAAAAAAAAAAAAAGATGCAGATCAAATGGTTTTCTCCAATTCCCTCTACCACTGGTAACCATTTTCCTCCCCCACTGGTCACCATTTCCTCCCCCACTGGTCATCATTTTCCTCCCCCACTGGCCACCATTGTCCTCCCCCACTGGCCACTATCTACTATATATACACTTCCCTTTGACAGCAACTTCGTGGGAATCATCTTGCAGTTCCAGATTCATCGTAACCTGTGTGAACTCGTTGGTTATAACAATGAAACCATATCTAATTGTGATTTATACAACAAGATAGAGGCCGGCAAAGCTCTAAGGTACGTCACTTGACCTCTTGATCTCATTGGTCCTTCATCTGATGTTTCTTACCCCCTTCCCTGCCATAGTGTTTAAAAACCCAAACCTAACCTAACTTAATGTAATTTGACCGAACTTGACCCTAACCTAACCTAACTTAATCTAAACTTACCTATCTGAACTTAATCTAACCTTAACATAACCTGATTTAACCTATTCTAACTTAACCGAACATAACCTAATCAAACGGAGTCTAACATAACTTAATGTAACTGAACCTTACCTAAGCTGACTTAACCTAACCAAATTTAACCTCACCTAACTAAATTTAACCTGGTGTTCCATAAATTAGCTAAACTATTTTGTTTAACAATCTAACCTATATATAATTTAAAGCTAATCCTATTTTTTACCTATAGAGCTAGCCCAGTTTTTACCTATGAAGCTAATCCAATTTTTTACCTATAAAGCCAACCCAATTTTTGCCTATAAAGCTCACCCAATTTTTACTTTTAAAGCTAACCCAATTTTTACATATAACTTAAAAAAACTAATCTGTATATACTCTACCTAGAACTTAACTCTTAACTAACCTATAAAACATACCTAACTTCCTTTCTCCTAATAGAGAGATGTTAGCTAAGGGAGCCTCAGAACCGTGGCGAAAACAACTTGGAGAATTCCTTTATGATAATGAGACTAATGGTGAGATGAATGCTATGGCTATGTTGGACTACTTCAAACCACTAGAAGAATATCTGGATGAATATATCAAGAACAATACCATTACGGTGAGATTGCAATGACAAGTAAAGTAGGAAAAACATATTAATTAACAGTATCTCAAAAAATGAGTATCTGTCTACACTGTGTGAAACATTATGAAACCACAGGTGATAGGTATTGGGATATGCATTTACTGTGATATATAATTTAGCATAATTAATGCAATGTGTATTTATTTTGATGTAATTAATATGATGTTCGATTACCAAATGTAGTAGGATCAGTCTGCCACAGAGCCACGCATATCAACCCTCCCGGGACATCACAAGTTGCGTGTTGCAGCATTTCGGAAGTTATCGGACCCATCCTAGCACATACTTTTATTTAGATACTGTACATGTAAGCAAGTTTTGGTGATTTGGTAAAGAGAATTTCATTTTTATTATGAAGAGGTATTAGGTAGTGGATTTGTTTTTGAAAGTATGTCTGTATGTTGATAATCCGAGTCATTTTGTGTATACAGTACTGTCGTTATGTATGTAGTATGGTTAGGTTGATTATTTTGTGTATTATAAATGTTGTATTTAGTTGTTTTTTCTGTTTGATTATCTCTCTCTCTCTGTTTCACTTTCTCTGTCTGTCTCTCTGTTTGTGTCTTTGTCTCTGTCTCTATCTCTCTGTCTGTCTTTCTGTGTCTATATCTACCTGTCTATCTGTCTCTCTTTGTCTGTGTCTCTCTCTATCTCACTCTACCTCTGTCTGTCTTGTTAATCTTTCTCTCTCAAAAATATTCCTCTTCTCTATCTCCGCAGACAAAGTGGAATAAGGATAAAGTGGAAGATTACATGGATCCAGAACCAACAATTATTCCAGCCACTGTGCCTATTGTGGTGGGGGCAGTGTTGGCAATCATGGTGGTGGTGGTGATTATTGCCTATGTCGTGGGCCGGAAGAGGCAGAAGAAGAAGGACGAGGAGGCTTTGGCCGCCGCATCAACTATAGCCAAGGTGCCCGGGGAACAAATCGAAATGGATGCTGATGATCGGACAGGAGCTACTTCTTCTAATGATGTCCTGTGAACAGTTGTTGATGAATAAAGAAAAGGAAGATAGAAAAGAAGGAGAAGAAAAAGAAGAATAGGAGGAAGATACAGAACACAAAGAAGAAGACTATGAAGAGGGGAGCACAAGAGAAAGAGGAGAAGAAAAGAGGAGAAAGCAAGGAAGAGTTAATGAAAGTAAAGGATGGATGATAGATAAATAATAAAATGGAGTAACAGTTAAAGAAAAATGAATAAGGAATTTAAATCAGAACCAAAAGACTAAACAAGAGAAACAGCAAAGGAGAAAGAGACGGGGGGGAAAAAAGTGAAGTGATCAAAAGGAAAATAGCCAGGGAGTGTGTACAGTATAAACAAGAGTGAGGGACGAGGTGAACTGCTTGTGTGGGTGGAAAGAGAGGAAGGTGGATCACGAGGTAGATTGACAAACCAGACGTAGGTGAGGAGGTAGAAGGAGAGTGAGTATGATGACCTGACCAACAGAGAACCTGGAGATGTATTGAATTTATGGATCATTGTTTAAGATTAGTCTTCCCAGCTTATAATGTCAACCTAACTTACCCTAAACTAATTTAACCTACACTGATGTAAATTAACCTAACCTAACCTAACCTACACCGATGTAAATTAACCTAACCTAATCTAACCTTTCTTAACCAAATTGAATTTACCCTAACCTAACCTCGCTTAACTTAATCTAATCTAACCTACCTAAACCTTTTTCTTCTTAACCTTACCTAACCTTATCTAACATAACCTAACCAAACATTTCCAATCCTGACCTAACTTAACCAAACCCTCCCCAAGCAACATTAGGTTGTGTAATCATAAAATTATGTGTTCTAGGGGGAATTGAAGACTAATCTTAGGTGAGCCAATATTATTTGAGGATACAACACAACGAAACAAAATCTTGAAAAGTTCTCACAGAACAGTTTCATTTACTCTGATCAGGTAATTATAAAAAAAGTGGAATGCCTTGAAAGTTCTAAGCATTATTCATGTAGCATTAGGCTGTTTGTCACGAAGTAAATGAAGGTGGTTCATACTAGGTTAAGGTATGTATGAGTTTGGTGACCGGATAAAACCCCAACGGACAAAACCCCAGTCTATATAAAATATAAAATAATACACTTAAGCTTAGGTTAGGTTAGGTTAGTTTAGTGTTGACAAATGACAACCCCGTTGGGGTTTTGTCATGGAACCTATTAGTTTATTTACCGTGATAAGTCTTGGGGGTGACAAATTCTGTCTGTAATCCTTCCCACATATGTATAATTATTCTACATATTATAGCAACACTAAATCTTTCGTCAAGTTAAAGCTTTGGGAAAGTAAACTACTGTAGGCTGTATAAATTATATATCAACGTCAAAAATCATAAACCACTTTGTGCAATGTCTAAAGAATGCAAAATATTCTTTTATTTCATTTTTTGTTATACAGTACTGTTAGAAAAATAAGTTTCCTTTACTGGTAGTTCCTCTTTTGTTAATAAATCTCTAATACAGGAACATTAGGAAAAAAAATTACCCAGATTGTGATATATATTCATTTAAAATTTAGGCATTTTTTTTTTTCGATGACTGTATATAGATTAATGTCTTGTCTTTAGATTATATTCTGTTTTTCTCTGGTGTTTGTCCTCTTCCGGGCCCATTAATTGGTTTTATACACAGTCATTGAGAACATTGTAGGGAAAAAAACAGTTCCTCATCATCATTCTGGAGGCTCATTCATTTCTTGTTCTGTTAACTGAATGACAAATAACCAACCAAACGCTGTTAAAAAATATATACGTATCTTAATATTTGGATCATATTGGTGGGTCCATATTTAGGATATGTTTTTAAATGTTTTTTTTTTTAATGAAGCCTCGGTGTTTAGATAATGTTTATTTTGTTAGTTTATGATTAATGTTCTATATATGAATATTCTTTGAATAAAAATGCCTTCTTGTGTCAGAGTTTCCTGTTGGACCTGTACTGTTATTATTATTACTGCGACACCCACACACCTCAACTATCAAGACCAATAAATTCTATCATAATATATACAGTAACTCCCTATTATGTAGCATAAGGCTATTAGTTACTATTAATAAACAACATATACCAACTCTCATATACTGGAATGACGATCTGAATAAAAACGTAGAAATAAGGAAATGAATCAAGTGTTGGCACCGTCACCAGCGCCATCTGTTGGACGTAAACTAGACGAGTGATAAGGTGCCCAGCGCCATCTGTTGGACATAAACTAAACGAGTGATAAGGTGCCCAACAGAGACAGTTCAAGGCAAGGTAGGTAGATAACAGGTAGCCTCACGCAGGCCCTTGGGAATTCACTAATTGGCAAATCTACTCGAGATCGCTAAGCCGCGCCCTTTATGCCACTTCATGCGTTTGGTATTATCTGTATTGATCCTTTCTCTAATCAAAATATACTAGCATAAAATGTTATAAATCAGATATATATTTAATAATATGTAACGGGAACTCTGGTTGAATTGTAAGATATTCAACACATTTCCTCCCATTTTAAACATCCCGCCTCTACTGTTGACGTAACTCATTGGGCGGAGCTTAATAAGTGATGTCATCGCCAGCCAATCAACGGAGTTGGATAAATCCAGCGGTCGCAAGTAAGATATTTGTATTTATTTTATATATTTAATCAGTGGCTCCAATTAAAATAAAACAATAATCTCCGTTCTATACATTTATTGTACAACTTTTAATACCATCAAAAGGCTTCAAAAATACGTAAATAAAAATTTAATTTCTATTTTCATTAGCGTAGATTCTAAGGGAGTGAGGCTACCTGTTATCTACCTACCTTGGTTCAAGGTCACTTTCCCATTAATTCAGTCTGTGTTTTCTGTGGTGTGTGGTGGTTCACTGTAAGGAAGGATTCCTCCCACACTGACTATACTGTACTTGTGTTTACTTGACAAGGTGAGTGTTATTCCCAGGGCCGGATTCAGGAGTGGGCAAAGTGGGCAGCTGCCCACAGTGCCCAGGGGCCTCCACAATCTGGGGGTCTCCACATATTACAATATTACATTTATTTGTTTATTCATTTGGATTATTTTCATTTTCATTCTTTAAAATTCATGTTTATCTATTCCATCACGTAAAACTATGTTCAGCAAGAAGCGTGATAGAAATTAGGCTAGCTACTCCTTGAAATTCATGAGTACCTGGTTTTCCTATGAACCGTATATTTTTAATGAATGCTATTGTTTGTGTTGCTAATAATATATTTAGAATTCCTCAAACACTTATTGATTATAAATGAACTACATGGAATAACGAAATTGAGATAAAAAAAAAATAAAATAAAATATTTTTTTCCTTATCACTTCCATTACTAATGCCAATTGTTCAAATTTCAAAATATTCCCGGGGGTCTTACAGCGCCCCCCGGGACTCCCAGATGTTTAGGCTCGCTTCACTCGCCACCCCACCCTCTTGGGTAGTTATAATGAGGGGGGCCTCCACAAAGAGGCTGCCCATGGGCCTCCACAGGTCTAAATCCGGCACTGAGTATTACTGTTTTATCAATGCAAAAGAGGAAGTAGTGCTGCTAATGTGAGCTTAGGGGCCTAATTATCTACCAAACAAAGCATTTGCCCATGAAATGAAATCATATCCGAACTCAGAGAGTGTGACAGCACCGAGAGTGAGCTCATTCAAGACCAGACTTGACCAACACTGGCGCAGGTGCAGATACATTCTGGAGCCAGTTGTTGCCCAGTACTTGCCAATGACGACATGCAGCCTGTCTGGCATTGATGATCTGTTTGGTGGGGTTCTTGGCCAGTCAGATATTCACCTCAGCCCAGCCAGCCATTCACCTCAGCCAGCCAGCCGTTCACTTCAGCTAGTCAGCCGTAAACCTCAAGCCAGCCTCAGAGAGCCGAACAATCTAAAATAAATAACAAACCCTTCCCCGCATCCACCCACCCTTCCTCCCAACCACACACCCTACCTCCAATCCACACACTCTTCCTCCCATCCACCCACCCTACCCCCCACCCACCCCTTCTCCCATCCACACACCCCTACCTCCAACCACACACCCTACCACCATCCACACACCCTACATCCAACCACACACCCTTCCTCAACTACACACCCTTCCTCCATCCACACCCTTCCTCCCATCTACACCCTTCCTCAATCCACACACCCTACCTCCATCCACACACCCTTCCTCCCATCACACACCCTACCTCCATCCACCACCCTTCCTCCCATCCACCACCCTTCCTCGCACCTTACCTCCCATCCACACCCATCCTCCCATCCACGCACCCTTCCATCCACACACCCTTCCTCCCATCCACACACCCTTCCTCCCATCCACACACCCTTCCTCCCATCCACACACCCCCTCCATCCACACACCCTTCCTCCCATCCACACCCTTCCTCCCATCCACACACCCTAACTCCAACCACACACCCTTCCTCCAACCACACACCCTTCCTCCCATCCACCCACCCTTCCTCCCATCCACACACCCTACCTCCAACCACACACCCTACCTCCATCCACACACCCTTCCTCCCATCTACACACCCTAGAAAGAAAAATAAATTAACATTTGATGATTTTGATATTCTTCATGAGCAAAGAGCGAGTCATCAGTCGAACATTAACTCACGTCTCACGGCCTAAAACTTCAAATAATAATAATAATAAAATAATAATAATAATAATAGTAATAATAATAAAAATAGTAATGGAAGTATTACGCTTATGCTAACCGTGGAAGCCAACTGCTTGTTTGGTTGTGGACTAGTTTAGTGACGTAAGAGCGGATCGTTGACGAAGCTTCGAAACTCATGACTATTTTTCGTTAATACTTATCAGTTTTATTTTAGCTAATGGTGGATAAAAGTGATTTAAGAAAATTAATGAGATTATAGATGACGGACCAATTGTGTATGGTGTTCTTTCCGCCGTCCAGTCGATTATTTTCATATGAATCAGTAAAGCGAACCAATGAATTAAGGAATCGAAGCACCTCGGGTTCGCCACTCGCCAGTGATCATTAGAGGTACGGCAGTGGTGGCGTCAACATGTGTGTGTGTGTGGTCATACAGTATTTGATCGCTATTTCCATGTTTTACGTTTGCTGTTTGTGGATTACCTCGTGTTTGTGGCGTCGTGAGGACTTCCAGGACTCTACGTTGTGGTTATTAGCAGTTGAGTGAAGGTAAGGTGATAAGTTGTGTTGTTGTACTGTGGGGTCCAGGAGGAGGAGGCGGTAGTGTAGCTCTCCGTCGTGTGTACAGGAGTTGTGGATGCCGTGGCTCGGACAGATAATACTGATATTAAGATGGCTATTAACCAAAGTTAGCATGTGGTAAAGACAGATAATACTGCTATTAAGATGGCTATTAACCAAAGTTATCATGTGGTAAAGACAGATAATACTGCTATTAAGATGGCTATTAACCAAAGTTATCATGTGGATAGACATATAATACTGCTATTAAGATGGCTATTAACCTAAGCTAGTATGTGGATATATGAATAAAATCCTAGAATTAGTATCGGTATATTGTTGTTGCAGTGCTGGGTACTTATCCACCTGTACTGGGACCTTGGTTTTGTATGAATTTATTG